GTACATGATGAGGACGACCCATGTGTCAGAGAGATAGAGGCAAAACGAGCTCAGGCTGTCAGGCAGTTGTTTGAGAAAATTGCACAACAAAGGAAGGAGTTCATCAGCCTGCTTGTAGAAGAGTGTATTGGGTTAATGGGTCCCCCTCCCTGTAAGTATGCCCTGATAGGTTTGGGTTCACAGGCCACAGGACTGGTAACTCCATACTCAGACCTGGAGTTTGCCATCTTGGAAGAGAAAGAAAGTGAAGAATGTCTTGTGTATTTCCGAAACCTCACCCACTATCTACACCTCAAGGTGGTCAACCTGGGAGAAACCATTCTCCCAGCACTGGGAATAAAATCTCTCAATGACTTCTACTCTGAGAACCCACTTGACAACTGGTACTATGACTCTGTTACACCTCGTGGGTTTGCATTTGACGGTTCCATGCCAAAGGCAAGCAAGACTCCACTGGGCAGGCAGGGAACTAAGAACAAACCACCCAGTGAACTCATCTGCACACCAGTAAACATGGCTTCAAAACTAGAGAAGGATGTCACATTGTACTGGCAAGGATATCATCTTGCAAGTATCTTGAAAAATCCATGCCTGATAGCAGGGGACCAGGATTTGATTGACACATACATGGACATCACAGAGAAGATACTGCAAGCTGATGGGGGCAAAATGGCTCAACAACTGGCACAGGAGACGCATAAGGAAAACAACAACATGTACAATGATGAAAGATCCCTCACAGCAAGGCTAATTGATGTAAAGAAAGAAATCTATCGTTTCCCAGCACTAGCAGTGGACTGCTTGGCACTGTCCTCAGGCATTAAACCTACATGTGCCACAATTTGGGAGAGAATAGCAGAAATGGAAAAGCAACAAGTGATCAGTCCCAACAATGCACACCACCTGACAGTGCTTACCAGCATCTCAGCAGAACTCAGGCTCAGAACATACATGGCAAATGGTGGACAGAAAGAAAACCTGTCAGCTATGGCCTCAATGGAAGCAATGCTAAGTCAACAGAAATCATCCCAACAGACAAATGATGAAACACAAACAAATGCTTTGAGTCTGAAACCAGTCTTTCATGTGCCAAACGAAACTCAGCTTTTCAGGTACTTTTTCACATCAGTCCCTCTTAAACGGGTTTTGTCTGAATGGTCTGGCGATAAACCAACTCTAACTTCATTCCCAGTTTTCTACAACAGTTCTCTATACGTGCAAGGAACCATGTACCATGAGCTCTGTAAATACAGGCTGGCTATCGGCTGCTATAATGAAGCTCTGGTGAATCATGAAGATGAACTCACTGTGACTGAGCAAATCGACATCTTCAACAAGCTTGGTCCTGCACATCACCAGATAGGACAGTATGAAATGTCTGTTAGCTGTAATGAACTGGCACTGGAAAATTACAGAAAACTCCATGGTGAGAACGCAGAACATCCTCATATTGCTGGGATATACAGCAACCTGGGTGTGACGTTTGCCACCAACGGTGATCACAGAAAGGCAATTGGCTACTTTGAACAGGCACTCCAAATGTACAGGAGTATCTATGGTCAGGGTACAGAACATCCTGACATCGCCACCTCACTCAACAACTTGGGAGGAGCCTGGAATCACCTTGGTGATTACAGGAAAGCAATCAGCTACTTTGAAGAGGCACTGCAGATGTACAAGACTGTCCATGGACCAAGTACAGAACATCCTAGTATTGCGCTCTCATTCAACAACCTGGGGTCAGCTTGGGGTGATCTGAAAGATCACAAAAAAGCAATCAGCTACCATGAACAGGCACTGTTGATGTACAGGGGTGTCTATGGTCCAAGTACAGCACATCCAAGCATTGCTGTGTCACTTAACAACCTGGGGGAAGCCTGGAGTAACCTGGGTGATCACAGAAAAGCAATCAGCTACCATGAACAGGCACTGGAGATGCGTAGGAGTATCTTTGGTCAGGGTAAAGACCATCCTGACATTGCCAACTCACTGAACAACCTGGGGACAGCCTGGCACCATCTGGGTAACTACACCAAGAGACTCAACTACCATGAACAGGCACTGCAGATGTACAAGAGTGTCTATGGTCAGACTAAAGCACATCATGACATCGCTGTGTTACTCAACAACCTGGGGGAAGTCTCAAGTGCTCTGGGTGATCACAAGAAAGCAGCCAGCTACCATGAACAGGCACTGGAGATGCGCAGGACTATCTATGGCGAGACCACAGCACATCCTGAAATTGCCAAGTCACTCAGCAAACTGGGGTTGAGCTGGGAGAAACTTGGTGATTACAGGAAATCGTTCAGCTACCTTGAAGAGGGAGTGCGGATGTGTAGGAACGTTACTGGTCCAGATTCTACAACACCTACCGAGATTGCCACGACACTCAACACCCTGGCTATGGGCTGGTATCACTTACTCGGTGATCGCGAGAAGGCACTCAGTCTCTGTCAGGATGCTTTGGCCATGGCTAGAGAGATCTATCCCCAAGACAACACTCTAATACAGACAATCGAGAACACCCTGGACAATATTGGTCCAGGACAGGCAGAACAGTAACTGTTGTAGCACTAGTTTGCCCCAGATGTTCAGATTTGTGAACATACTGTACGTGTATGTTTTTTTTTTTGTTTTCTTTTAACGCCCATCATGATAATGATCATTCTGGCTGAGCAAAGTAAAGGAAGTCGTTTAAAGTAGCTTTCCCAAGAGCACAAGGTTGGTGACATGGCAGGATTCGAACCTGTGACCTCTTGGTTCTGAGCCGAATGCTCTGCTGTTATGCCACACGACCCCATGCCTGGGTAGAGAAAAAGTACCCTGACATACAGTAACAGTTGCTAAGCTGTGGAACCTTCATTTACAAGCAATTTGCTACTTTTTAAATTCATGAAAAATTTATTTGTGTAAAAAAATATTCATAATAATCCTGAAAATATGGGGCTAAGCAGTACTTCGAATTTTCACCTCTCAAAATCAGTGGCACAGACGACATCATCATCGTAACAAAATTAAGCTACAGGAAAAACGTGGACTGAGAAAAACCCTATGAATGATTACTGAATGTTGTGAATGGAAAGTATTGCAAAATGGAGGAGACTGAACATGACCTTGAACTGACCTTGGTTTTCCAATGTTTCTGAGCGACGGACAGTTCCACATACGGGTTGGGGTCACTGCCAGACTTCTTCACTGTCTAGAAAACAACAGGTCAAAAAAAAATGTTACTGACATCAAAACAGTTGGATCATGTCCACAACAAAACTAGCCTCTACCAGGCTTCAGGAAGCGGCTGGAAAGAGTAGAAATTGGCCAAGTAGAGAGAGATAACATGGCAGGGGAGTTGGTCCACTAGATACAGCTTGTCGGCATTGTCCTTTTTGGATAACGTTTTTCTGTACTTCAGGTGCAGCAAACTGTTTTCTCCAGCGGACCAACTCCCCCGGCATGTTATCTCTCTATTTGGCTGATTTCTATTCTTTCCAGCCGCCTCCCGAAGCCTGTTGGAGGCTACAACAAAAGTATTGCTGTCAAGGACTGATCTAAACAAACAAGCTGACTATACAAAGGACATTATTGCCAAACAAATAACCTGACAGGAGTAGTCGTTTTGCCTCAGACTACAATTATACACAAATACAGCAGAATGTGATAAAGATATTAGCCAGGTATGTAATACTATATGTGTTTTCCTGACTTTACTAAGTGGTAAACATGACTGTAGATTTGTAAGAAGCCTAGAGAAGCTTAACCATAGTTATCAGGACACAGTCAGCAGGAAAAATGAAGGAAGCCCCTAAATTAGAATAATATTGCAGCCCTAAATAGATGCTTTCTGTGGAAAAAGAGAACTTGTTATTACTGAGATCACCTAGTAAGTTTAAGAACAAAGCTACATTGTTCTGTGTCATAAGTTAAATGTACTGAATCAGACAATATGTTAGACCTTCAGAGTTGTACAATCAGAGAGAAAAGCACCTAAATTAGACCTGCAGCCTTAAGAAAAGGATTCCTGTGGAAAGACAACAACATTTGAAAGAAAGTTATTCAGAGTTTACAGGATTAGAAAAAAGCCAGACAACTGTGTCAGTAAGACTAGTCACAGTCCTCCTGAGCTGCCCATTGAATAGAAAACATCACCTTCAGTTGTCAGATCGAGAGAACCTTTGATGAAACTTATGGTACTAGTAACGGTGTTAGGCACTGAAACATACATTTTGTACCACCTGAAACCCTTATGCTAGAATGTACATTGTTTTAACTGAAAGGTTGTGTAATGTATTATTTGTAAAGATTGTTAAAGTAATGTATCTGTTGTATCTTAGTACAATACATGGAATTAATCACTGTTTAATGTAATTTATGAAATCAGACATGATAACCTAACAGTGCTGTGTGTTATGATATAATTTCATTATTTCTGACATGTTTAATCTGTATATAATCTGACATTATTAGCACAGAAAAAGACACATCAAAAGCACATTGGAGCACCCTTCACTAAATGGAAAATACAAGTAGGACTGGAAAAAGTTATGATTGTTCTATCAACTTACTGCAGTTAGACTGTATTCAATATTGAAAACCAGGACATATTTCATTGTGGTTCATGCACTCAACACTGACTTTCAACTGGTCTCTTCTCCAGACATCACCATTTAATTTACTTAAGACTTAGTAGACAAACAAGTTCAAGTTAGACAATAATTCTAACCTTCTCCCTGTTGCCTAACCTTGTAACCAATGGAGAATTGGTAGCAAAAGACCAAACAACAACTTCAGTATGCTAAAGGTTAAAAGTTGCAAAAACACATTTCCCTCAGTCCCACAGTCTGCTAAAGTGAGAATGGTTAGAGACAGTCAGTTAGGGTACTAGTAGGTACATGTAAGATGACACCTTGTAGTTCCAGCCACATGAAACATGATATGGGTTATATGAAACATGATACAGGTTATGTAAGATGATACAGGTTATGTAAGATGATCTGTATGGATTACCAGTCTGGGGATACTGCGGCCTTGCCATGTGTTCTTTAGCAAACCTGGCATCTTGGAGAAAAAAGGGTGACAACAGAAAAAGACCATCAGTGCAAAGCAGTGAATTTATTCAATAAGTGTTTAGTAAGTGCATGGTGAAAAAATACCATCTAACAAATGTCACCTCTCATAATTCCGTTAGTGCCTAATGTACCCAAGTTTGCCACATAAATAAAAGACAGCTTTCAACATGTAGTACTACACAGTAAATACCCGAAGTTTGGATACCTCGCAGATTCTCTACATTCACTGAATGAAGAAGTAAACTCATCAACTTGTTCATTCATTCATTTGTTCACTCACTCTGCTCTTAACACCACCTAGATCTGCACCTTAGACCACACTAACAGGTAAGCACACTACAGCAGGGGGAATCTTAGGCAAACAATGAAGGTCTGGATGGAAATCTGCAGATGTAAGAAGCAAGGATGGACTTCCAACTATACTGTATCCAGAACAGTACCCTGCCTATCTCTAGTTCTGTGCCTGAATGGGTTAAGGTTAGGATCAGGCACGGTTCTGGGTAGTCTCTATTGTATCCAGAACTGTGCCTATCTAGTTCTGTGCCTGAATGGGTTAGGGTTAGGATCAGGCACGGTTCTGGATAGTCTTGATCATATCCAGAACTAGTACCTATCTAGTTCTATGCCTGGATGGGTTAGGGTCAGGCAGTCATCTCTGGAAAGTCCCTGTGTGTCCATGACATTCAATGTAGATTTGCCCCAGGCATAGTTCTTGATATGCATGGACTATCCAGAACCGTGCCATTCTAAACAAAGCACAGTTCTGGATACAACAAGTTGCATGACATGTATGTATACACATGTAGCTGCTTAAGGAAGTGGAAGAAGAATGTCTAAGAAGCTGTTTTAAGAAGCTGATGAGAAGGGAAGGGAGCCGGCAAAATTGTTTGAGAAAACTTACGAGGAACCCTTTCCTGTCAGAAGGCTTTCAGAAAAAGACGAACACAAAAAAAAACGATCATCTTGATTCATGATTTGCAACTATAATCATTTAAAAACATAAATAAACAGAAGAGAGACATAGCCAAGAAATCTTCAGAAGAATTTCCAAGAGAAATGTCTAAACTACACTTAATTTGTTTGTATAATTGAATGTGTATGACTACTAGAGATAGAAAAGAGCAGAGACAAAGAGACAGTCACGTTCACAATTTCTTTCTCAGGCCACACCAATGTGTTTTAATGGATCTCAGACACTTTAAAACAAACAAAAAATTGTCAAGAGTACAAGATGAACAGAGAACTGAGAGGAAACTGGAATCTGACTACATTTACTCCTCTACAACAATATCAGGATAAAGACTTTCCCTTCAAATCTACCAATCCTTAAGTTTGTATTAATTTTCAGAAATCTACTGGAAATCCAAGAGACATTGGGGTGGCCTTACTGCATAATACTAATAAAAACTTACTGTATACATGTTTATCCTTCATACCTAGAAAGCTACTATAAGACGTTAAACTTTACTAATCCTGACACCTTTACACCTTAGCAAGAAAGCTGTACTTTTGTTTGTTTGTTTGTTTGTTTGTTTCTTACCGGCAAGTTCTTGGCTGAGTCCACACGGACGACCAGCAGCGCAGACGACAAGGCGTCAGCATCGGCAATCCTCTTCACCTTCTCCATCTGATCAAGACTCTGCAAGGAAGGAGGACAACGTCTTAGACAGTCTTCAGCTTTGTCTTAGGTTTGCTTCATGTCTTGTATCATCAAAGAACCAGATAATACATTTTGTAGATGGAAGTTACACATCCAGGTAATGAGATACACAAGAAAAATTTCTCAAGCCACATTTTAAAGATGGCTGACTATTAATAAATTGTTTTCTTGTGCCTACTTTTAAAGTTGGGTGTAAGACAAAAAAGAGTCTTCATAGTTTCCATCAGCATCCTTAAGTCTCAAAGTATGTCTGAGATGATACATGACATGAACAAACTTTAAATCATGATTCAAAACACATACAGCACAGGGGTTGTCTCCAACATTTCCCAAAAGGTATTGTTCTATAGAGAACAAGGTGAAACTTTGAGAACAACCTCTGCACAGCCCTAAGATGTAGCAAACGTGCAAAACAGAAGTAACAGTACACCAGAATGCAGGGATGTCTGGATCTGGTTCATTTTTCCATTCCTATAGTGAAAACACTCAGCACTCATCAACTCTTCAACATGGCAGGCAAAATACACAAAAGCACACAGACAAGAACTTGGTCACTGACAAAAGATATTTTCAAACATCGAAAAGAGACAAAACAACAAAGCAAAGCAGGTTCATCCATGTCGTATCAAGCAAAAAACGCTTCAAAAAGTATTGTACATGTCACATGTCATATGTTTATTGTGAATTTTCATCAATTTTGTAATCTTCACAAGACCAGTTTTCAGTTGAAATGTGCACATAATTCTCCCACATCTGTCTTCCAGAAAACTCCATGCATGCAAATATACTGTTCCTGTGCTATCCACACACTGTATAAAGGCATCCAATGCGATTTCAGAGCAGCAAAACTTTTAGCAAGTACTCTGAATAAGGCAATCTTTGTGATATTGACACATACTGATTCACATTAGCACGTTTGAGTCAGTATGTCATATCTAAGGCATTTAAAACTGCAGAAACAAGCCCCAAGAGGAGTCCTTTCTTTTCTGGGAGGTACCCTAAAAATCACCCATGGGCCCTTTCAGGGTGACAATATATATTGGGACAGTGTGGTTTCAACTCAGTATGTAGATAAATGACTGGAATATTCGCTTTGAAAAATCAGAGTTCCAAGCCCTAAAATCTGCACTGGATGCCTTTAATATAATTCTATCATCCACAAATAAATTCTCCCAAGCGTTGGCACATAAACACACACGGGGCTAACCCGGTCTCCTGCACGCCTCCTTCCCAGCATGCCATGCTGTGTAACCATGGTTACCGCTGTCCAAACAACCAATAAGGGAGCGTTAAAATCTTTTCCGCCTTTGCCTGGCGTCTGATAGATGATCACAGAAGTAAACATGCTGGAGTCAAGCAATACCTGTTCCCATCTACCCAGTACAGTTCTCTTCTGCATACAGTACGATCTTTTAAAACTGTTAACAAATTATTTGCAATTATTTAGGCCTCCTCATAAGCATTTTTATGCTTCCGGCTTCCCTGCACTGTTACATTTCATTTCTATTTTCTTGTATTTGTATTGTTACATTTTGTTTTAAAGTGCGAAATAAACTGAAACTGCACTGGCCTGGTCTTAATCATGTTAGTTTCACAGAAGTCCAGAATGTTTTACCCTTTGAAATGTCTTTCCAAATGTAAATGCCAACCAGGATAGGTTTCCTCAGTGTAGTTTTGTAGTTTGGTTAACAGACTGGAAAATAATTCTTCAAAACTTTCCATGAATGATGAATGAGGACAACAGCCAAAGTACTGAAGTGCCCCCTGTCAACTGATGTGAAAACTGCAGCTAAACAACTTTTCGGGGAAGTTTTCAGGGCTTGAACAACTTTTTCTGCTAAAACGTTTTAAATTAGTAAAAAAATGTTGTAGGAATGAGTCTGTATGCAGGAGAGAGTAGACTGGTATCATGTCAGTTTGTTTGTTTGTTTGTTTGTGTCTGTTACCACGGCTACCTCGTCGAGCCTTCCCCGCAGCGTATCGGGCAGCCCCTGTCCTGCGAGGTGGAAGGTTTTAGTGTACATGGCTTCCATCACGTTGCTGTGCCTCAGGTCCCGCAATCGGTCTCTCCAACGTTCTATATACTACAGACACACACACACAGGCCACAGTCTTAACCTACAAGCAAGGCTCTAGCCAGCACCCGTTTTTTTCCATTCGTTGCAGGAATTCATAAACTTTGTGCCGAGTGATGGAAAAATTTCTACACCAATCCGTCAACCTTGACGGACAAAACTGACAAAAAACTTGGGTAAAAATATAAAAACATCCAAACGATAACCGACAACCACTCTTAGCCTCTCTAAAAGTGGAAAATAGATTGAGGAGTGCTTTTAAAGTCTTGAAAATCCAAATTTTGCGTCCCAACACCACATAGAATGCGAGCACTCTCCTCCCAGGTCCAAACGTGAACCTGGGCTGACAGAAAAAGATTTTGAGCTGGCTAGAGCCCTGCCCCAAACCCCCAAAACTAGAAACTTTAACGTAACATTTGCAAAGCAAAATGCATAATGTTTACCTTCACATGGCCTAGCCCAGCAAACTACTGCTCTGTTTATTCTTACTCAAAAATATGTGGTGACTATCCTTTCTAACTCTATTCTTGCTACATAAGGTAACCTAACACCAAAGGGTGTCTGCTACATGAACAGTTTCCATGGTGACAGACGTCTGGTCCAGATCATTGACCTTATTTGTTTGGAGAAGAAGAAGAAGAAACAGAGCAAAACAATATGTTTTTTGTGTGAAGGTAAACATAATCATTCTGTACATAATATATATTTGATAGCATCCATAGTATCACATTTTTGTTGCCTGAACCAAAAAGCATCCCTCATTGTTTTAAATTAAATAAAACTTACCGATGAAGTTAAGGTTGGGTGCAGGCATCACAAAGCAAGCAGAATCCGCAGCGTAGCACCGTTGGTGATCAGAGCACAGGATTCATTAGTTCATTGGCATTTCTACATTCTACAAATCATTTCACGTCAATCAAAGCAAATTAGTACAAAATATGCAACAATTACAGAGCATATCAATTACAGAATTGACCATTGCAGCACAAATTTGATGGTTTTAAGTATATAATCATGACAAATTGAATCAAAACTGATATTCAGAAATGCATCGTTACTACATCGTAGCCACAATAGAGAGTACAAATGCAAGAAAATACACCATCTACAGTCATGTAATATGCAAATGTACAAGATTTTTTGCATGCACTTTGGCAAAATGCAGGTTCTTTACTCTGAATTGGAGAAAAAAACTCCAGACAATGAAATATTTTAGCAGTACAAAAAGTTGTTCCAAAATCCAGCAAATCATTCAGTTTAATTCCTCCTTATCCCCTCAAAAGCCTTTAATTAAACCCTAATTAAACTATAGTTTCCTGACTTATGCCTTTCATTGTGATCATCACAGCCATAGCGAGAGCACAGCCTGCAGTACGTTAGTGATCAGGCAGGGGGCATACCTTATCCAGCGCCTCCATCTGTGAGCTCAGGCTGAGCCACGACATCCGCAGGTGCACCTGTCCCGTCGTCGCATCCTCCAACGGCAACCACTAAACAAACAAACAAACAAACAAACAAACACATTACACAACATGAAGAGCACTTCCGCGGACTCTCAATTAAGGCATCCAAAATTTCAGGGCAGCAAAACAAAAAGTATGCTTAATGTGGAAATCTGTATGATACTGTACAATATAAAATTATCAAAGAGAAAACCAGGAAATATAACTCACCATATCACTGAATCCCATCTTCACCACTTCTGAGATGCTCACAGCAGCACTACCAACAAAACACAAAATCAAAAAATTAACAAATATGGAGCAAGGATCCTACAAATGCAAAAACTACCATTTATGTATCTCACCATTACAATGATTTATCCAAATTCACTGTAGGATTATGTCTGCAAAGCTATTTGGGCCATATTGTCAACCTTGCATGTACAAACTTTACACATATTTGTTTGAGCTCAATTCACAAATCATGACAAAAACACAGCTGAACAAAACTGAATAACTGTTGTAAAAGTGCAGCTCACTTTCCCAGTGGGTCGTCCTTACTGCCAGGGTCCTCATCAAACATGTTGACCTGCATCGTTTGTCCTTCCAACTGGTCCACTACAGCCTGTAGGAGGGGAGAAACATGATAATCATAAGTATAACTAACATGTACTGGCATATCAGATAATTATACAACCATACATCCGCAGGACCTGGTGACATTAGTGGTGGGAATTATCAGATATCGTGTATAAACAGGTCTGTCTAAATCTCAACTGGATTAACTCAAATCAATTAGTTGAGATTGAAATCAATCCAGTCTACCCAGTTTGCTGAGAGAAAACATGAATTTGTACATGTTCCCATGCCCATATGTGTGGCGTTCACCGGGGCCAATGAACCATGGTGTAAACATATCAGGTTACATAACACACTGCCTTTCAGTCCATGGTCGCTGTGAGGCACATGCATGTTGATGCAGGTAGGCATGACATAATGGAAAGTCCCGGAACTGACGCAGTAAAACGCAGGGAAAATCCAGAACTCTCACCAGTACAGGGAGGAACTGACAAGTCTCTACTGAGGCAAGACCGCAGATTTGTGGAGTCTCAAACATCCAGGTGAGATTTAGACACCTCTGCTGTTTACCATGAAAGGTTACAGACTGTATTATTGAGAAGGGGGATGGTTTGTATCCAGTGGCATGGGGGAGGGTCATGGAACACATTTTTGGCCGGTGTGTGTGTGTGGGTGTGGGTGACTGGATGGCAATTGGAACGTCAGTTTTTTACGTTCGAAGGGGGAGGGGGGGGGGGATTTGTTGGCCTGGGGGGATTAGGTCTATGGGAAGTTCAACCCTCTTGGAACTAGCTATAGGACCTACTGAACTAAGGGCAGGTTTTGTTTATGGTCACCAGCCCTCCCCCCTCCCGATAACTATAAGGCAGTCCTTCACAAGGGCTACAGGGGTTTGGCCATTTTATGCTCATTCATTTTTTCTCTTCTTCAGGTTAATCATGGGGACAATGGTCAGACCAGCACGGAGGCTGCAGCACTTTGAGTTGTGCATCGAGCTTCAAAATAACCAAGAAGCCATTTCTCCTGATGTAACGAGTGTACTAGTAGTCCGAAATATTTTGATATTTGGACGCATGGATAATTCTGTGGAGGTAGAACTCTTGAAACTTCATGCAGACAGGGACAGAGTCTGCTTTGCTCATGCACTGAGAGAAGCTATTGGTGATGATGATCCCTTGATGGAGGTAGAGGTCCTGAAAAGTCTTGGAGACTTGCGTCTTGAGGAAGCCAAGCTCAGTAAAGATTCAGTAGAGTTTGACAAGGCTGCTGCCCTGTATGCTGCTGCCTTACTGCGCTGCAAAGATCCAGACATGAAACAAACACTTGAAGATGAACTTGAACACTCAAAACTTTGCAGACAACTGCTGCAGGGGTACAGTCCACAGTATCAGTGGTCACAGGACCACTGCAGCTCTGCTGATAATAGTGTCTTAAGGGTGGCAGAGATTTGTGACTTATTGGACAAAAGTATAGGCATATCCCAGTGTGCAATTGAACAAACTTACACAGAAACATTGGTTACAGCAATAACAATTCAGGATATGTACTTGGAGCTTGAAATTCTAAAATCTCTCGGTGATTTCTACCTTGAGAAAGGCAAGAAAATGAAGTGCAAGAACATGAAGTGCATTCGCCAGCTTTGCAAGGCAGGTAGCATGTACTACAAGGCCCTGACAAAATGTGAGGACCATGATACAAAACAGGTTCTGACGCACCGAATAGCATACACAAAACAGAGATGGATCTGGCCAGTATTGGACAAGCTCGTGGAGGCATTCAGAAGGGTAAGTCAATATTTTAACCAGGTTACGCAAGCAAGGTTGCCTTAAATTTGAATATTGTATAATCATCACAAAATATTCCTTTGATATAAGTACTAAACGTCTTTAATTCAAATATATCGTAATACAAATTTAAAGGATGGCATCTTGAGGACAATCATTGTCGGAAGCATCTTACAATTGCAATTGCCCGCTCTGGAGACGCCATTTTCAATACTATGTCACAATTTTTCAAATCCATACAATTATTTCTAAGAAAGAAACATCTTCTTATGGAATTTATTACAAAATTGTCATCCCAATCCTAGACTCATGTGATGAACGCAATAAAACATTTCTTCATGGTTGTTGTTAGGATATTCTAATGCTTGTGAAATGGTTAACGAGTGTAATTATTTTGCAGCACCAATTAGAGACCTTCCTAAAAGCTGACATTACTGCATACAAAAAACTCAGCCCTGATGAAGCAAGGTGGGAAATTTTCAGTCTTAGAAATCATTTAAATTCCAAGTCTTAAGAATAATCTGCTTTGTACATATTTGATTAGATTATGATGCAGATTGTGGGCATACCCCCGGTATTAATCAAATAAAAAATAACAGTAGTTCTAGAATTTTAAACAGAGCGTTCAAAATACCTCATGGGTTACCCAGATGTACTGCACACCCATACAATGTTGTTTGTCTACATGTACCTTACAAAATTAATTCAGGTAGCCAAGAATTTTGAATGTCTTTAACATTTAATGATCAATCAGCCCCTGAAATTATTGAAAGTTTTAGTTTTGCATCTTAGGTTCATGTGGACTTTCTCTAAACCACGAAAGCCTTCATGTGACACACACCACCTAGTCACTTTCTTCCTTCACTTTGGAATTCTTCTTTCATTCAGTCTTTACACAGACCACCTTAAGAAGGGAGACTCCTCCCTTGCCAGATCAGACCTGGACTCAGCAGAGCAGCACTTTGCAGCTGCACTCAAGATTGTACATGTGAGAGGTGAGAGAAAAACTCAAGGTATCAAAATTTGAAGGAAATATTGGAGAGGATTCTTCTCTGCTGTGACCATTTTTTGTCCAGATTAATATTTGAACCTCCTTTCTTCTCCACAGACCCCACAGCCCAGCAGTACCAGAGAGAGGTGGAGCCCCTGTGCAAGTTGGGGGATGTCTACAGTAAGCGAGGTCAGCAGACGGGAGACGGGGGAGACTTTGTCAAAGCAGCAGCACTCTACAATGCAGCAATAGCCAGGTCACAGGATCAAGTCCTCAATTGTAACTTAGCAACAACTATTAGTGAAGTAGAGAAGTCATTTCTCAAATTTACCTTAGGCATTCATAGCAATGTTAGCCAAGATGACACAGAAAAACACAAGAAACAGCTGAAGGAGATGCGGGACCAGATCAAGCTGGAGATGGAAACCATTGACCAGCAGCTGGATCCCTATGTACATGATGAGGACGACCCATGTGTCAGAGAGATAGAGGCAAAACGAGCTCAGGCTGTCAGGCAGTTGTTTGAGAAAATTGCACAACAAAGGAAGGAGTTCATCAGCCTGCTTGTAGAAGAGTGTATTGGGTTAATGGGTCCCCCTCCCTGTAAGTATGCCCTGATAGGTTTGGGTTCACAGGCCACAGGACTGGTAACTCCATACTCAGACCTGGAGTTTGCCATCTTGGTAGAAGAAGAAAGTGAAGAATGTCTTGTGTATTTCCGTAACCTCACACACTATCTACACCTCAAGGTGGTCAACCTGGGAGAAACCATTCTCCCAGCACTGGGAATAAAATCTCTCAATGACTTCTACTGTGACAAGCCATGGTTACTTAAGGACTGGTACTATGACTCTGTTACACCACGTGGGTTTGCATTTGATGCCTCCATGCCAAAGGCAAGCAAGAATCCACTGGGCAGGCAGGGAACTATGAACAAACCACCCAGTGAACTCATCTGTACACCTGAAAACATGGCTTTAAAACTACAAAATGATGTCACACTATACCTGAAGGAAGGATATCACCTTGCCAGTATCTTGAGAAACCCATGCCTGATAGCAGGGGACCAGGATTTGATTGAAACGTACATGGTCATCACAGGGAAGATACTGCAAGCTGATGGGGGCAAAATGGCTCAACAACTGGCACTGGAGATACTGAAGGAAAACATCAAAAGCTACAGTAACGATACAGTGTTAGCAATGCTAATCGATGTAAAGAAAGAACTTTATCGTTTCCCAGCTGTGTTAGTTGACTGCTTGGCACTGTTTTCAGGCATCATACCTACCACAGTTTGGGAGACAATAGAAGAAATGGAAAACCAACAAAAGATCAGCCCCAACAATGCACACCACCTGACAGTGCTTACCAGCATCTCAGCAGAACTCAGGCTCAGAACATACATGGCAAATGGTGGACAGAAGGAAAACCTGTCAGCTTTGGCCTCAATGGAAGCAACAATGCATGAACACAACTCTTCCGTACACACCAATGAAAACATTACAAAGGCACTGAAACCAGTTTTCCATCTACCAAGTGAAAAACAACTTTTCAGGTACTACCATACAGCAGTCCCCCTTAAATGTTTTTTATTTGAAGGTTCTGGAGAGAAGTCAGCTATAAAATCATCAGCCGCTTTTTACGATAATTCTTCAAAAGTACAAGGAATGATGTATTCTAAGCTATGCAAGTTCCAGCTTGCTATCAGGTATTTCCACAAGGCCTTAGAGGAATCTAGAGATGAAGATAGTAAAAAAGTGGACATACTCAGGAATCTTGGTGATGCTGTGTGTATGTTGGGTGATTACCAAAAAGCTATTAGCTACTACAAACAGGCATTACAGATATATAGGAGTATCTATGGTCAGACTAAAGCACATCCGCACATTGCCAGCTTACTCAACAGCCTGGGTTTAGCCTGGAATGACCTGGGTGATTACAGAAAAGCACTAAGTTACCATGAACAGGCACTGCAGATGCACAGGTGTATCTATGGTCAGACTGCAGAACATCCTAACATTGCTACCTCACTCAATAACCTAGGTGTCACTTGGCGTTACCTAGGTGACTACAAAAAAGCAATCAGCTACCTCGAACAGGCACTGCAGATGGCATGGGAATATTGTATGTCTCCTGTTTCTGTTAAGGAAGCTTTTCCTGACAAAAGAATTGCTGAATCACTAGTTAACCTGGGGTCAGCCTGGGGCCATCTCGGTGATCACAGAAAAGCAATTGACTATCATGAAAAGGGACTACTGATATACAGGAGTATGTATGGTCAGGCTACAGCACATCCTGTCATTGCCATATCATTTAACCAAATAGGGTTTGCCTGGATTCACCTGGGTGATTACAAAAGAGCTATTAGCTACCATGAACAGGCACTGCAAATATATAAGAATATGTATGGTCAGGGAACAGCACATCCTCACATTTTCAAATCACTCTATAATCTAGGATCAGCCTGGCACCACCTGGGTGATTACAGGAAAGCAATCAGCTACTATGAACAGGCATTGCAGATGCGCAGGAGTATCAATGGTCAGAATACGGTGCATTCTGACTTTGCCAACTTACTAAAAAACATAGGTGGAGCCTGGTGTCAACTTGGCGATCACAGAAAAGCCATCAGTTTCTTCCAAAAAGCCTTAGTTATGGCAAGGCAGACTGACTCTCAGGACGAAAAGTTGATAAAAGCAATGGAATTTCTTATTGCCTTTCTCAAAGGTGTCATCCAAATCTGCAAAATGTAGGCCTTCATGTTGATGTAAATGTTTGTAAAGTAAATCAGGTTCCTTGAATGTGAGTTTGTACCAATCATATTTCTACTGAAACAGAAGATTGTGTCTTCCAGAACTTTAAACATCAACTCTGTAATTAGGGATTTACTGTTCATATTAACTGTCTAGTTCTCCATACAGGTTTAGTGTATGTAGAATGTGAATAAATTTTGATTTTTTGTTTGAGTGTGCAAATGTACAATATATGTGGAAGTCTATACACCAGGCTATAATATAAGAGCAGGGACAGTTTGGAAGTTAGGGAAACAGGCAAACACTCAGGCTAACAGATGCACCTAGCAGAGGAGGGGTTTCCAGTGCTAGTGGTACTGTATCACACAAGGGAAATGAGGGGACAATTTATGGAATTAGATAGATTTCTCTGGTTGCTAAACAAAACCAGCTGTGATGGATTTCTGACAGATTTCTGCCAGATCAATGCTACAACTCAGTACTGTTGAATAGCGGAATAAAAAATGTGTAAGTTGGTTGTGATGTCATGTTTTGTCGCCTCAATTCTTGTTGAGCCATATTTTATTGTCAAAAATGAAAAATGCAGGAATCTTGATTTTTTTTTGCCTGCTGTCAGACTCATTTTTTTATCCCTATCACATTAAACAATTTGGAGTTGTGCAAGCACTACAGTGGGGGGCTTTTCCAAGTTAGTCAGTGTTATGTGACCTCAAATCCCATATACTTTTCTCATTATGCTGAGTGCTAAGCAGAGAAAGCAGTATGTACCGATGATGTTTAAAGTCTTTGGTATGACCTGGCTGGGGTTAGAACCCATGGCCTCCGGTTAAAAAGCAAGCAAACAACAAATTAAATTAGTGTGGCCTTAAGTCAATATCACACACACTTACAAGTCTATCTCACTTCGGTTGCCATTGTGTGCATGCTCCAATGGCAAACTGTACAATGCCCTGGGGATAACATGATCCACGAACCAAAGGGTTCAGTAACCCAGCCATACAAAAGACTGTTGACGTAAGCATGACACAATGGAAAGTCCCACCTGGGTTAGAGGGGAAAACCAGACATTTTGGAGGACAATTTTAATTAGGCGATCTACAATGTAGAAATAGGAACATTTTTTTTTGTGCAGAAGAAAAACTCAGAACTTAATTATTAAAGAGGGAATGGAGAAACAAATGTCATGTATGTATCAGATAACCAAGTCTGGTATGATAATTAAACATGTTCACCTGTATAGTCTGACAGGTCAAATACAACCTGGGGGAGAAACATGTACCAAATATCTTGTCTAATGTCTTGTCTAATGTCTGATTAGACATACCGACATTCCAAAATCATATCCAGTTGCTTGAGTAACTGCTTTTTTGGCGTATCTTATTACCTGGAGGTCTAACCTTCATCGACATACCGACTATACTTAGACACAGGGGCTACCTTAAGGTTTGTTGATTAAGGTTCCCATGTGTAACATTCACAGAGCCCAGTAGACCATGATGTAAACATGTCAGGACCCAGGGCTTTCAGGTACAGGTTGTGTGCAGGTATTCAGGTATTCCGCATGTTGACGCATGTACTAGGCATGACTCAGTGGAAAGTCCCGGGAGTGGCGCAGTAAAAATTCCGAGGGAAAACCCAGAACTCTCACAAGCAGAACCAGGCAGGTTCACAGACAGACATCCAGGTGAGATTTAGTATTAACACTGACCAACAGCCTTCGTCTTCATCTGTGGTACCCCCTAACAACCCACTAGGGGTATCACTGAGGGGGGAGGGGAGGTGCGTGGACCTTACGGAAGGGTGGCCCTACAGGTCTCTACGGATCGAGCCTGCACTACTTTCGCAGGTAACTTGTTCCACTCAAGTATTAAGCGGGGAAGAAAGAAAAATTGAAACAATCTTTGCTTGCGGGGATAAGGTGACATTTTAAGGCAGGGCAACCATTCAAGCGTTTAACATACATAAATATCATCAACCAATACCAGTAAAGACAACAAGACTAGTGCAGCCATGAGTGAGAAGAGCCCACATACAGCTAGCCCTTATTGATTTCTTTATCCAGGAAATACATTTTATCACCTGATGGTGTTTTTCAATGATTCCTGGGGGGAAAGCCATTAACAACAAATTTTCATCAACTCAAAGTTAACACTAGTAGGTGTGTGTGTGTTTGAGTGTGTTTGAGTGTGTTTGTGTGTGTGTGGTTTTAGTGGGTTTGTTGCTTGCTGGGGAGACTAATATTTTGATTGAGGTGCATGTAGATAGAGTCTTTAGCATGTCACTAGAAAAACATACATTTGCCTTTAAATCTCTGAGTTTACCAATAAATTTGTTCATCACTATTTCAGGTGGCTTACCCACAGGCATTTTCTAGTGGGCATTTTCAACAACAAAAAAATGTCTGTCAACAAAATGGCCAGCCTAGTAAGCAAGTTCAAAGATTTGGAGTTATGCCTTGAGAGACAACTGAGTCAGGAAGTTGGCTATGGACAGGCACTAAGAGAAGCTATTGCTAGTGAGGATTGTTCTATGGAGGTAGAGGTCCTGAAAAGTCTTGGAGACCTGCGTCTTGAGAAAGCCAAGCTCAGTAAAGATTCAGCAGAGTTTGACAAGGCTGCTGCCCTGTATGCTGCTGCCTTACTGCGCTGCAAAGATCCAGATGTAGGTGAAACGGTAGAACATCGTATCCGCTACATGGAGAAACTCTCCAGACAACTGCTGCAGGGGTACAGTCCACACTTCAGGTGGCAGTCACCAGACTACTGGGGTACTGCTGACAGTAATGTCTTAAGGGTGGCAGAGATTTGTGACAAACTGGACATCAGTATCAGAAAATCCCAGCGCTCCATGCAACAGGTTTACACAGAGGCACTAATGACAGCAATTGAGAACAGTGACATGTTTTTGGAGGTTGAGGTTCTAAAATCCCTCGGAGATTTCTACCTTGAGAAAGGTGAGACAACCTCTGATGTATCCCAGTTCTCCAAGGCAGCTGCCATGTACAGCAAGGCCCTGACAACATGCGGGGGTCCTGAGACAAAACTGACTCTGCAACATCGTGTCAAGTATGCAGAAAAGACCAAAGAAGCTGCATCACGGGTGATTCCAGCATTCTTTTATTTTACGAAACATTACTATATTATGGTATTCCTGCAACTGCCTACTATAGTAGCATTTTCAATGTTACTTTTAAATTATTAGTCTAAGGATTTATTGTCATATATAAATCAACAGGACTTGGTAGTAAAGTCTTGTGTGAGTAGTATCAAAGCGGTTATAAAAGGGAACTCCTACCTACTTATGTACAACAAATTTTTACAAATCTGATCCATCAAAATTCATTCTAGAAGCCAAGAAGAAGAGAAGAAAGACTGCACAGAAAGCACCAGCTAGGAAACATCAGAATAGAAGCTGACAAGATGCAGGCTCATCATCTCCAACCACATATACCAAGGTAGGGATTCAAATTATTCTATCATAAGGCCACACCAATTTAATTTCTTGGTTCTTGGATTAATCTCATCACTTTTTTTATCTGCAAAAAAAAGATTAAACTGAACTGACCTAAAAAGTGCTCACATTTTGCTCCGAACAGTTGAGGAAAGTTTTTTTCTTCCTAGTTGTTCCAGTTTTTCCATTTTATCAATGCAGTGGTTTGATCAAAAGTTCAAAATTTATTGTTTAAATTTGAACCCAGCCTTTTGTGTTGACTTCATGGCTTCTATCTTAGCATTTGGGGCTATAATAGGATGCCTAGACCTGTTTTTATTTATTTTGTTTCCCCCTGTCGCTTCATCTTTTTCTGAAAAAATTACCAACAACCAACAAATGAAATTGGTGAGGCCTAACAAGATTATCAAACTTGAAGCTACAGAAAAATATAGATGTGTGCACATTCACATGGTCATCGTGTATACTACAAAAAAAAATACATTTAAATGCCAATGGCTTATAAACTGTCCATATCTTACAGAAATGCAACAGAAAGCAGCACTGCAGATGGAACAGTTGAAGAACAAGAACTCAAAGACAAGTGAGTGTGATTCTTTGGAAGGATGTTGGTCACTGGTTAGTTCTTACATTGTTGAAGAGTGGTTGTACCAGTTTGTTCATATAACCAGTTTAGTTTATAGTCATTTCAATCTACACTTGACTTTTGACAAATAAAATATACTTTTCTGTCACCTCAAGGGAGTACACAGACCACCTTAAGGAAGGAGACTCCTGCCTTACCAGATCAGACCTGGACTCAGCAGAGCAGCACTTTGCAGCTGCACTCAAGACAGTACATGTGAGAGGTAAGTGTTTAAACTTCAATATCTACCCTCAGTAATTCTAGAGTGTTCATATTTTACTTAACTATGATAATAGAACATGGACTTCAGAAAGCAATTCAGATACCCCACCAGACACAGCCAGAACCTATCTTTGAAACTGCCGCTTGTTCGCCTTGAATGTGGAAAGCGCAAATTCTCCTACAGAGGCCCTGCCCTCTGGAACAGGCTGCCAACTGCTATTAAGACCTGTCCGTCCATGTCCATTTTTAAAATGAAATGTAAGAATTGGCCTGACCTCTGACCCCTCCATGCCAACATATAGGACTGGACAATGACAATGACTGGACTGGACAATGATGTATTTTTTGTTATTATTACTATTTATTACTGTTATTGGTTAATTACTGTGTTTTCGTTATTATCATTGCCATTATAATTATTTATTGTATAATTTTTGTATGCTAATGTTATTATTTGTATGTGATTGTTGTACTGTGCTGTGTAATACAGGGCCCCGTTGAAAAGCAGTGCCATCACTGAATTGGGTTACCCTGTATAAAAATGACGGAAATAAATAAAAATAAATAAATTAGTCTCAAAAAGTGAAAAAAGTGATCTACAGTTTGTAATGATGGTACTCAATATTCAGCAATTCTGTTAGGGTAGCTCATCATGATCACAAACTAACAAGAAGCCATAGGCGACAATCCTCCGTGAAGTTTTATATATTTCAACAAAAACAAGCGTCAACGCCAGACCTACTGTAACCTGGTATCCAGTCTGATCGTGGTCGGGGCCGTAAGAGCTCGGGGCCGTAAGAGCTCGGGGCCGTAAGAGCTCTGGCCCGCCCGCCTCACATAGGTTTCCCGGTGTGTATTTCACGAGAGATTAATTAGCCCTCCTATCGTGTTGGGGGAAACCAAATCCCCAAGCATACTGTCTCTGATTAGCGTAACACTCCTACCAGGACGGTCGACTGTTGCACTGGGCGGGGGAAGCTCTTAGAGCCCCCGAAGACACAACCTGCCTGAACACCCCAATTACCCCAATCACGATCAGACTGGATACCAGGCTAGACCTACTGTGCAGACATTATAATTAGGCAGCGGTTAATACAATGAGGGCGCGTCACAAGCATAAAACATAAAAAGACCTAAATCCATTACTGCTCCCAGGGCGTGTAAAGATACTGTACTTCAAGTTCGAAGTTCATTTTAATTACACACACACAATCATTGCATTCACATAAAGATCGGACTATCATGGTCGTGTCACTAGTAACAAAGACAGCCCCACCGTCTTACCGTGCCTGTTACTTATTAAGCGCGACTGCAACAGGCCAAATTCCAGCAACAGTTGCAGCGAGTGTCACTACCGCCGGTCAGATACCCGGGATATCTGCTTAGAGAACCTCTGCTACCAGACAACTGCCTAAACCTACGGCCTATTCCACAGGATTGTAAAGTAGGGATGTTTTTAAAATATGCATTTACTTCAATATCAAAACAGCTACGGTAAAAATAAAAAGACGTGCATCATCCCGGACATAATGGCACACCACATGCGAAATTACACAGAAATGCGACGTACGGAAGGCGTTTTGGCTGCGAACATCTTCCAAAAAACTTGGCATCTCTTAAGCATGGGCAAAAACATCTGGAACCACTTATCAAAACCACCCCGTATCTGCATGAAGTTCCACCCCCCCACTGCTATTCCAAACAACGCGTTTTTCTGGACCATTCCAATTCGCCTCGTAATTGTAGGGGTGCGTCTGCAATATTACATTGACCGCGAAAGCAGCAACGGCAAAAATACACATTCGGCGTATAAAATTGCGTGCCGATTACACAAAGAGAACCCAGTGTTTTGACTGCGAACACGAAAAACCAGCCGTTCACAACACTCCGTCTGGAGGTCCTGACCTCCTTCACGGAGTAATAATTTGAATACTAGTCTAGTATAACCTTTAGATACAGTCTAACAATTACAGACAGAAAATTTATTAGAGGTATTTATATTATAAGACTTGCATGAATACCTTTCAATTCAGACCCCACAGCCCAGCAGTACCAGAGAGAGGTGGAGCCCCTGTGCAAGTTGGGGGATGTCTACAGTAAGCGAGGTCAGCAGACAGGAGACGGGGGAGACTTGGTCAAAGCAGTAGCACTCTACAATGCAGCAATAGCCAGGTCAGAGGATCAAGTCCTCAATGGTAACATAGCAACAACTGTTAGAGAAGTAGAGAAGGCATTCCTCAAATGTATCCTAGAAAAGCATAGTAATGTTAGTCAAGATGACGCAGAAAAACACAAGAAACAGCTGAAGGAGATGCGGGACCAGATCAAGCTGGAGATGGAAACCATTGACCAGCAGCTGGATCCCTATGTACATGATGAGGACGACCCATGTGTCAAAGAGATAGAGGCAAAACGAGCTCAGGCTGTCAGGCAGTTGTTTGACAAAATTGCACAACAAAGGAAGGAGTTCATCAGCCTGCTTGTAGAAGAGTGTATTGGGTTAATGGGTCCCCCTCCCTGTAAGTATGCCCTGATAGGTTTGGGTTCACAGGCCACAGGACTGGTAACTCCATACTCAGACCTGGAGTTTGTCATCTTGGTAGAAGAAGAAAGTGAAGAATGTCTTGTGTATTTCCGTAACCTCACCCACTATCTACACCTCAAGGTGGTCAACCTGGGAGAAACCATTCTCCCAGCACTGGGAATAAAATCTCTCAATGACTTCTACTCTGAGAATCCACTTGACAACTGGTACTATGACTCTGTTACACCACGTGGGTTTGCATTTGACGGATCCATGCCAAAAGCAAGCAAGACTCCACTGGGCAGGCAGGGAACTAAGAACAAACCACCCAGTGAACTCATCTGCACCCCACAAAACATGGTCTCAATACTTCAGAATGATGTCACACTGTATCTGAAAGAAGGATATCACCTTGCCACTATCTTGAGAAACCCATGCCTGATAGCAGGGGACCAGGATTTGATTGATACATACATGGCCATCACAGAGAAGATACTGCAAGCTGATGGGGGCAAAATGGCAAAACAGCTGGCACAGGAGACGCGAAGAGAAAACATTAATGCACAAGTATCTATAAAATTAGAACAATTGATTGATGTGAAGAAAGAGATCTATCGCTTCCCAGCTCTAGCAGTGGACTGCTTGGCACTGTCTTCAGGCATCATACCTACCACAGTTTGGAAGACAATAGAAGAAATGGAAAAGCAACAAGTGATCAGTCCCAACAATGCACACCACCTGACAGTGCTTACCAGCATCTCAGCAGAACTCAGGCTCAGAACATACATGGCAAATGGTGGACAGAAGGAAAACCTGTCAGCTCTGGCCGCAATGGAAACAGCACAGCATGGACAGGAACCATCCCTACAGACAAAAGATGAAGTACAGACAACTGCACTAAAACAGATTTTCTACCTTCCAGATGAAAACCATATTCTCAGATATTATTACACAGCACTACCTCTTAGTATTGTTCTTTCAGAATGGTGCAAACAAAAAGTACTTCCAAATTCATTCCCTGATTTCTATGACACTTCAGCCACGATAAAAGCAGTAATCTACACCGAACTATGCAAGTACAGAAAGGCTATCAGCTATTGCCACCAAGCTCTGAAGGAAGCTGAAGGAAATGACGATATGAAAATGTCACTGCTCAACAGACTTGGAGTTGCTTTGACCAGAATGGGTGATAACCAGGGGGCAGTCAGCTATCTTGAAGAGGCACTGTCATTGGCACAATGTTCCTCTGGTCAAGGTATCACAGATACAGTTACTGCCGTGTTGCTAGAGAACCTGGGAGCAGTCTACTACTCTATGGGTGATTATATTAAAGCAAAAAGCTATCTTGAAGATGCACTACTGATATACAGGAGTGTCTATGATCAGGGTACAGCGCATAATGACATTGGCACATTACTCAATATACTAGGGGCAACCTATCAAGGGCTTGGGGATTGCAGAGAAGCAATCAGCTACCTTGAACAAGCACTGCATGTGCAGAGAAGCGTCTATGGTGAGAATACAGCACATCCTGACATTGCCAGCTCACTGAACAATCTTGGTATGTCATGGAATGATTTGAGTACATTTGAAAAGGCAAGAAACTACCTGGAACAGGCACTTGAGATGCGCCAAAGTATCTTTGGTCACAGTACAGCGCATGCTGACATTGCTATATCACTCAGTAACCTGGGGAAGGTCTGGCACCGGCTGGGTGATTACAGAAAAGCAATCAGCTACCATGAACAGGCACTGCAGATGCACAGGAGTATCTATGGTCAGACTAAAGCACATCCTAACATTGCCACCTCACTCAACAGTCTGGGGTTAGCCTGGGATAACCTTGGTAAAAAACATAAAGCCATCAGCTACTATGAGCAGGCACTGCAGATGAATGAAAGTATCTATAGCAAAAATACACCACATCCTGGCACTGCCAGAATACTCAGCAACATTGGTGCAGCCTGGGATTCCTTGGGTGACCACAGGAAATCAATCAGCTACCTTAAACAGGCACTACAAAAAAAGAAGAGCATCTACATTTTGTATGGCCAGAATACAAAACATCCTGACATTGCCAACTCACTTATCAAGCTGGGTCAAGCTCTGGTTCACCTTGGTGACTATTTGAAAGCAATCAGCTACCTTGAGCAGGCACTGCAGATGTACAGGAGTATCTATGGTCACACAAAAGATCACAGAGACATTGCCCTGTCACTCAGCAGCCTGGGGATAGCCTGGTACCACCTGGGTGATTTCAGAAAAGCAATCAGCTACCTTGAACAGGCCCTGCAGATGAACAGGAGTATCTATGGTCAAAGTACAGAAAATCCTGACATTGCTGCATCACTTGTCAACCTTGGGCAAGCCCACAATAATGTTGGTGATTACAGATTAGTAACCAGCTACCTTGAACCGGCACTGCAGATGTGCAGGAGTATCTATGGTCAGACTACACCACATCCTTACACTGCCTCCTCACTCAACAACCTGGGAACAGCCTGGAGTAACCTGGGTGATCACAGAAAAGCAATTCAATACTATGAACAGGCACTGCAGATGCTCAGGTGTATCTATGGTCAGGATACACCACATCCTCAGATCGCAATATTACTCAACAACATAGGGCAAGCTTGCAATGAACTTCATGATTACAAAAAAGCAATCAGCTATCATGAACAGGCTCTGCAGATGTTCAAGATCATCTATGGTGAGACTACAGAACATCGTGATATTGCTGGCTCACTCAACAACCAGGGAACAGCCTGGGGTGCCCTGGGTGATTACAGAAAAGCAATTAGCTATTGTGAACAGGGACTGCAGATGCGCAGGAGTATGGATGGTCAGACTACAGAACATCCTAACATTGCCACCTCACTCGGCAATCTCGGGACAGCCTGGTACCACCTGGGTGATTACAGGAAAGCAATCAGCTACCATGAACAGGTACTGCAGATGCGCAGGAGTGTCTATGGTCAGACTACAGAACATCATCACATTGCTATGTCTCTTCACATGCTGGGGTTAGCCTGGAGTGACCTGGGTGATCACAGAAAAGCAATCAGCTACCATGAACAGGCACTGCAGGTGTTCAGGAGTATCTATGGTCAGACTACATCACACCCTGAAATTGCTACCTCACTCACCAGCCAGTCAACAGCCTGGTACTATCTGGGTGATTACAGGAAAGCACAAATTCTCTGTCAAGAAGCCTTGGCTATGAAAAGGCAGATTTATCATGGGGTCAAACATCATCCAAGCATACAAGGAACTGAACAGAACCTGAGACTTATCACTGCAAAATTAAGAGATAACACCTAATTTATTTATTTATTTTTATTTATTCATCTTGAGGACAAATGGGTAGTCCCTTCAGTCGTTGGGGCTGATTTCCAAGGGAGCCCATGGAATACAAGAAAATAATGTAACATAAAATAATAATAATTAAACATAACAGGAATTCAAAAATCATAAATCAAAATACAAGATCAGTCAGAGGTGAGATTCTCAGAGGTCAAACTCCAACTAATACAAACTTAGGAGTACATGTGGTAGATCATAAATAAAGTACTTGAACATAGTATGTAATAAACCATATATACAAATCAAACAAATAACAAAAAAATACTTAAATCATAATCGGTTCGGTAATATGCATATTTCAGTCTCTCTTTAAATGATTTAAGGGTGGGTGCTTGTTTTGTGTAAGTGTTTAGTGAATTGTAAATTGTATGTATACAATTTATGATATTATGGCAGCTTTATTGGCAGTTCCCTATGCAAGAACCAAACGACTGCCGCTGTCTTTCCTGTGTTGCGCCATCAAACTTTACAATAACTTACCTTCTGGGTCTTGAATATACACTGAACCTGACTTGATTGGATGCAATCAGTATGGACATTGTGTATATTTTATTACTTTGTATATGTCTTTGTATATACCTCATTTAGATGTACATGTTTTGTCTCTTAATTTTTTTATGTGACAAATGTTACTCAATTCAGGGGGAAGTAGTTACTTTACCCCCTGCTGATGTACATTTGATATAGTGCAATAAAAGAAATGTAATGTTATTGTACCAGGAAAATCTCCTTCCCTTTCTGAAAAGGACATGAGCTATCATACAGGCACTGCAGATGACACTGTACAGAAGTCCATAAGGTCAGACTAGCTAAAGCACAATAATCCTGACATTGACATCATTATGCATTTATTGGTTTATTGAGTTAAAACTCTCCTTTAGCTGCCCACCCGAGGGTGACAGCTATTCTTCCTGGAGAGAGTATACACATACATGTGTAAACGTAACAATACATCAACATGTACATAATATATGCATCATCATATATACATCATCATTATGAGTGTGTTATAAGTAAAGAGATTAGGCATCGATTGTAGCAGACAGGATTGAGATGAGTATTATTTAATTAGTATTACACATCTGTATAAGGACAGATAATACTGTTGAATACAGGAATAAAAACATGTTGGTTGTGATATCATGTTCTGTTGCCTCAATTATTTATGATTTTGATTTAAAAATTGAAAATGTAGGAATCTTGTTTTTTTCGCCCTATAGCCTTAAATTTGGAGTCTAAGCAGGATGTCACCCATCCAATTTACTTGCTGTGGCCTAATATATAATACAACAACAAAAAAAGAACTTTACCTGAAGCGTAACTTTTGTAACAGTTACATATTACTTACTTGTACTTGATTAGGTCTCCTCAGCTTAGCGAGTGGCCTGCGTTACATATTACACAACACAGTGTACATAGTGCATTATAATATAAATCATAATATGTTATATACCCACACATGTATATCAGTTCGTTCTACTTCATGCGAAGCATAGGGTAGTGCCCATCTCCAAATCTGTAGCCCTTGGGCCACATACTTGACAATGTGCATTAGCACTACAGCTAGTCCGCTGGTAGTGTCATGTGTTGGACCTCCTATATATATTATGTACTCTTTCTCATAGTTCCTGAGTGTCAAGCAGAGAAAGCAGTGTGTACCATATCTAAAGTCTTTGGTATGACCTGGCCAGGGTTATAACCCAATGACCTCCTGGTTGGTTACAAAATGAGCACTCTTCCGGTTGAGCTACAGTTTGTATTGCACTCCTTCACTACAACAGTTACAGTTACTGTAAATCAGTAGTAATGAAAACGCTTTGGTTTAAATAATGCAGAACTAAGTCAACAAGTCGGAATATTCATGCATGCTTCTTGTGATTTCTATATCCAGGGGGCATCTGTTTTCTAAGCAAGTTGTCATACAAATTCAAGTCAAACTGACTTTAAGCTACCACACAGGCTTACAAGTCCATCTCAGCATAGTTTCCATTGTGTACTTCTTGGCACACCTGACACAGAATGGTTGTTTACAGCCTTCAATGTAACACGACCCAGTAACCAAACCTCGTAGGTTAATAAGTAACTACATGTATTTGAAAAGACTGTTGACGTAAGCATGACATAATGGAAAGTCCAAGCGTGGCACAGGGGGAAGTCCCACCTGATTTAGAGGGAAAACCAGACGTTTTGCAGGTACAGGGAGAAACAGGAACATTTCCTTGTGCAGAAGTAAACTCAGAACTTGCAATTTCTACTAAAGAGGGAAGCAGGCAAGTCTTTACAGCAGGCAGGTTCACAGCTGTGGAGTCTTAGACATCCAGGTGAGATTTAGATTCCGCAAAAAGCCAACAAGTGCCGGCTTGTCGTATACGTCGCTATGTACTGCCTCAAATCACAATACCAGCTTTGTATTCCTGTGGTTTAGTAGCATTTTTATTTTTGGCCAGGTTTTTTTTTAATTCGCCTGCGTGCACTAGTTTGGGGGGTCTTCAAAGGATGTAATCCATAACATTAAGTCGGTGTGGCCTAATTTTCAATACTAAAACAGTTACTTTAAATTAGAAATTCATGTTAAAAACTCTAAATTTTACACAACCAAGACTTTTATTCAGCCGACATTTCAGTGACCGTCTGTCGCCTTCCTCAGGGCAATTCTGACTGGTTCACATCGTATGGCAACTTTGAATGTCCAGGTTTACCTGTCCAATGAATTTGTTCTCTGTTTGTGTTCAAAGGTTCATCATCATCATTATCAATTTAGGTGGGCCACCCAAACTTTTTCTTAAAGCAATAAAATGTCTGACAACAAGGTGACGAGCTTAGCAAGCAAGTTCAAAGATTTGGAGTTGTGTCTTAAGAGACATCCGTGGAGTCAAGAAGTTGGCTATGGTCAGGCACTGAGAGAAGCTATAGCTAGCGAGGATAGTTTCATGGAGGTAGAAGTCCTGAAAAGTCTTGGAGACCTGCGTCTTGAGAAAGCCAAGCTCAGTAAAAATTCAGCAGAGTTTGACAAGGCTGCTGCCCTGTATGATGCTGCCTTACTGCGCTGCAAAGATCCAGACATGGGAGAAACACTGGAACATCGTATCCGCTACATGGAGAAACTGTCCAGACAACTGCTGCAGGGGTACAGTCCACAGTATCGGTCACCAGACTACTGGGGTACTGCTGACAGTAATGTCTTAAGGGTGGCAGAGATTTGTGACAAACTGGACAACAGTATCAGAAAATCCCAGCGCTCCATTGAACAGGTTTACACAGAGACACTAGTGACAGCCATTGAGAACAGTGACATGTTTTTGGAGCTTGAGGTTCTAAAATCACTGGGTGATTTCTACCTTGAGAAAGGCAAGACAACCTCTGATGTATCCCATTTCTCCAAGGCAGCTGCCATGTACAACAAGGCCCTGACAACATGTGGGGATCCTGGGACAAAACTGACTCTGGAACATCGTGTCATGTGCTTGGTGAAAACCAAAGAAGCTGCTACACAGGTAAGTAAAAAATCAGCTTGTAGTATATGGAATGATATAAATTTGTTCCAATTTTCCTTCTAAGTACTATAAGCATTTTGTTATTATTCAACACTCTACATGAATATGGAAAACAAAGAACTATACTTCCCTCAATGTTAGAACATGTAGGAGTAACAAATATGGTCCATTATGATGCAGCAACCATCATCAAAGAAGTCAAAAGGAAGACAAGAAAGACTGAATGGGTTGAAAAACATTACAAGTGTACATGTAGCTGACGAAAATAATCCTCTCCATCAAGTACCAAGGTAACAGAATTTACATACTTCATGTTATAGATTAAATAACATCAGACTGTGAATACATTTTGTACATTACACCATTTTTAATGTGACAACCATAGTTATAATACATTTTATGTGATACAAATTATTACACCATTATTTTGAACTCGTTTTGAAAGATTTTTAAATGTTGTTAATTTAAATCTACTATCATATTTAATTTGATAATAAATATAAATACTTTTCTTTCCCCTTAAGTGAGTACACAGACCACCTTAAGGAAGGAGACTCCTCCCTTGCCAGATCAGACCTGGACTCAGCAGAGCAGCACTTTGCAGCTGCACTCAAGACAGTACATGTGAGAGGTAAGAGAAAAACTCAAGGTATCAGCATTTAAGGGAATTTCTGGAAAGGATTTTTGCCTGCTGTGACCATTCTTTGTTCTGATTAATATTTGAACATCCTTTCTCCCCAGACCCCACAGCCCAGCAGTACCAGAGAGAGGTGGAGCCCCTGTGCAAGTTGGGGGATGTCTACAGTAAGCGAGGTCAGCAGACAGGAGACGGGGGAGACTTTGTCAAAGCAGCAGCACTCTACAATGCAGCAATAGCCAGGTCAGAGGATAAAGTCCTCAATGGTAACATAGAAATAGCTATCAAAGATGTAGAGAAATCATTTCTCAAAAGTATCTTAGGCATTCATAGAAATGTGAGCCAAGATAACACAGAAAAACATAAGAAACAGCTGAAGGAGATGCGGGACCAGATCAAGCTGGAGATGGAAACCATTGACCAGCAGCTGGATCCCTATGTACATGATGAGGACGACCCATGTGTCAGAGAGATAGAGGCAAAACGAGCTCAGGCTGTCAGGCAGTTGTTTGAGAAAATTGCACAACAAAGGAAGGAGTTCATCAGCCTGCTTGTAGAAGAGTGTATTGGGTTAATGGGTCCCCCTCCCTGTAAGTATGCCCTGATAGGTTTGGGTTCACAGGCCACAGGACTGGTAACTCCATACTCAGACCTGGAGTTTGCCATCTTGGCAGAAGAAGAAAGTGAAGAATGTCTTGTGTATTTCAATAACCTCACCCACTATCTACATCTCAATGTGGTCAACCTGGGAGAAACCATTCTCCCAGCACTGGGAATAAAATCTCTCAATGACTTCTACTCTGAGAACCCACTTGACAACTGGTACTATGACTCTGTTACACCTCGTGGGTTTGCATTTGACGGCTCCATGCCAAAGGCAAGCAAGACTCCACTGGGCAGGCAGGGAACTGAGAACAAACCACCCAGTGAACTCATCTGCACCCCACAAAACATGGTCTCAATACTTCAGAATGATGTCAAATTGTACCTAAAGGAAGGATATCATCTTGCCACTATCTTGAGAAACCCATGCCTGATAGCAGGGGACCAGGATTTGATTGACACATACATGGACATCACAGTAGAGATACTGCAAGCTGATGGGGGTAAAATGGCTCAACAACTGGCACAGGAGACACAAAAGGAAAACAATCTTGGGCAAATATCTATAGAATTAGAACGACTGATTGATGTGAAGAAAGAAATATACCGCTTCCCAGCTGTAGCAGTGGACTGCTTGGCACTGTCTTCAGGCATCATACCTACCACAGTTTGGGAGACGATAGAAGAAATGGAAAACCAACAAGTGATCAGTCCCAACAATGCACACCACCTGACAGTGCTTACCAGCATCTCAGCAGAACTCAGGCTCAGAACATACATGGCAAATGGTGGACAGAAGGAAAACCTGTCAGCTTTGGCCTCAATTGACACAACACAGCATGGACAGGAATCATCCCAGATCAATGATGTCCAGGCAAATGCACTGAAACAGATTTTCTATCTTCCGGATGAAAACCAGCTTTTCAGATACTATTACACTGCAGTCCCTCTGAGAATTATTCTTTCAGAATGGTCGGAACAAAATGTAGCTGTTTCAAATTCATCTCCTGATTTCTATTCATCTGCAGCAAGTATAAGAGCAACAATGTACTTTGAACTGTGCAAATATAGCCAGGCTGTCAGCTGCTACCAGGAAGCTCTGATGGAAATTAAAGGAAATGATGCTGAGAAAATTGAGCTGCTGAACCGGCTTGGGCTTTCTTTGTGCAGAATGGGTGATAACCAGAGGGCAGTCAGCTACCTTGAAGACGCACTGTTATTGGCACGTTCCAGTCAAAGCATAACAAATCCATACATTGCCATGTCATTAAGCAAGCTGGGATCAGTCTACATGATCATGGGTGATTATAAAAAAACAATCAGCTACCATAAACAGGCATTACAAATGTACAAGACCATCTATGGTCAGAATGAAGCACATCCTTTCATTGCTACCTCACTCAACATGCTAGGGGCAGCCTATAGTGGGCTGGGTGATTACAGGAAAGCAATCAGCTACCTTGAACTGGCACTGCAGATGCACAGGAGTATCTATGGTGAGAATACAAAACATCGTGATGTTGCAATCTTACTCAACAACCTTGGGATGACGTGGAAAGACTTGAGTGACTTTCAAAATGCCAGAAGCTACCTGGAACAGTCACTGCAGATACGTAGAAGTATGTATGGTCACAGTACAGCACATCCTGAGATTGCAACAGCACTCAGAAACCTGGGGATGGTTTGGCGACACCTGGGTGATCACAAAAAAGCTATCAACTACCATGAACAGGCACTTTTGGTGGATAGGATTATCCATGGCCAGACTACAGCACATCCTGACATTGCTACTGCACTCAATAACCTGGGGACAGCCTGGAGTGAACTGGGTGATGAACGTAAAGCTATCAGCTACCTTGAACAGGCACTGCAGATGTATAGAAGTATTTATAGCAAGAATACAGAACATCCTGACATTGCCCGCATACTTACCAATATTGGGGAAGCCTGGGATGTCTTGGGGGATCACAGAAAAGCACTCAGCTACCATGAACAGGCACTACAAAAAAGAGAGAGCATCTTTGGGAAGAGCACACCACATCCTGACATTGCCAGCTCGTTTATCTGTCTGGGTCTAGCCCTGGCTCACCTGGGTGATTATAGGGAGGCTATCAGCCAGTTTGAAAAGGCTCTGAAGATGTGCAGGAGTATCTATGGTCATAACACAGATCACAAAGACATTGCAATTTCACTCAGAAGCCTGGGAGGTGCTTGGCAACAACTAGGACATTACAGAAAAGCAATCAGCTACTTTGAACAGGCACTGGAGATGAAGAGAGTTATCTATGGTCAGGGTACTGAGCATCCTGAAATCGCCAGACTACTCATCGACATGGGGTTAATCTGGCACCGCTGTGGTGATCAAAGAAAGGCTATCAGCTATCTTGAACAGGCACTGCAGATGTACAGGCATGTCTATCATGGTGAGAATGATGCTCATCCTGACATTGCCACAGTACACGACATCTTGGGACAAGTTTGGCATGAACTGGGAGATAGTAGAAAGGCAATTAGCTATTATGAACAGGCACTTCAAATGTACAGGAGTGTATATGGTCCAGGTACAGAACACCCTTACATTGCAGAATCACTTGACAACCTTGGGAAAGCCCACAGTCACCTTGGTGATCACAGAAAAGCAATCAGCTACCAGGAACAGGCACTGCAGATGTGCAGGAGTATCTATGGTCAGGGTACAGAACATCCTGTCATTGCCACCACACTCAACGACCTGGGGCTGGTCTGCTACAACAATGGTGACCACAAAAAAGCACTTCAATACCTTGAACAGGCACTGCATATGTATTTGAGTATCTATGGTCAAAGTACACCACATCCTCAGACCGCCATATCACTCAACAACATAGGACAAACCTGGAATGAACTTCATGATTACAAAAATGCAATTCGCTACCAGGAACAGGCACTGCAGATGTTCAGGAAACTCTATGGTCAGACTGAAGCACATTCTCACATTGCCAACTCACTCAACAACCTGGGGTCAGCCTGGTACCACCTGGGTGATTACAGAAAAGCAGCCAGCTATCATGAACAGTCACTGCAGATGCGCAGGAGTATCTATGGTGAGGGTACACCACATCCTGACATTGCCACCTCACTCAACAACCTGGGGTCAGCCTGGCACAGCCTCGGTGACCACAGGAAAGCCCTCAGTATCTGCCAAGAAGCCTTGGTTATGGCAAGACAGGTTTTCCCTCAAAACAAACATCATCCATTGATAAACAGAATTGAGGCACAACTGAGAACAATCAGCATTAAGACATCCTAAGAATCTCAGAAGCATTTGTATCACCGAATGAAAAAACAGTCTAACTTGTAAAATACATAGTTGTCAACTGAAGGTACATATCATATTTCTGTATCAAATCATAACTAAACTTGAAGTTATAACAAGTCTTACCTCATAATACTCGTTCCATCTTGGCTCCAGGGTGTTCTCTATTGTCTTACTCTTGAAGCTCTGGGCTCCAACTGTACATATGGAGAAAATAAACTTAAAGATTTTAACAGAAACTTGCATACTGAAAAATATATTGTTGAAGAAAGCAAAACTTTTAGCAAAGATAGAGTTAGGGTGACAATGTAATGCTATTTCAACTTGTGTTCCTGGGTGACAAATAAACATTTATCAACATTTATCGCTTTTCTTGTGCTTTTTTTAAAAATTCAACCATGTGTACAATGTCTCATGACCCTTGACAGTCAAGGATCCCACAAAATATTATACATGTACATGACCTTTACAAAGAATGCCCCAGGATGACCCCTGACCCCACTATGACCTATGACCCACCTTGCAGAGTGCAGTAGGGGTCAGATTTTCCCTTCTTCATGAAGCCGACGTCGGCTCTCATTAGCTCCTTCGCTTCCTTCAGGTGGATCCGCAGGACTCCCTAAATAACATCAACAATAACAACAACTTCAGGTGGATACGCAGGACTCCCTAAATAACAACAACAATAACAACAACTTCAGGTGGATACGCAGAACTCCCTAAATAACAATAACAATAACAACAACTTCAGGTGGATACGCAAAACTCCCTAAATAACAATAACAACAACAACAACTTCAGGTGGATACGCAGAACTCCCTAAATAACAACAACAATAACAACAACTTCAGATGGATACGCAGGACTCCCTAAATAACAATAACAACAACAACTTCAGGTGGATACGCAGAACTCCCTAAATAACAACAACAATAACAACAACTTCAGGTGGATACGCAGAACTCCCTAAATAACAACAACAATAACAACAACTTCAGGTGGATACGCAGAACTCCCTAAATAACAACAACAAGAACAACAACTTCAGGTGGATACGCAGAACTCCCTAAATAACAACAATTAACAACAACACTGGTTCAGGTGGATCTGCAAAACTCCCTAAACAAAAATGACAACAACAACACTGGTTTGGGTGGATCAGCAGAACGTCTTTTAAACAGTTAAACAACAACGTTATAAAAAATCATGTCCTTGGTGCTGAAGGTGTATCTGCAGAACTCGCTAAACAACACAGCTTCATGTGTGTCCCTAAAATCCCATAACTAACAACAGCTACACCATGTCTGTTATGTCTTCAGCACCAAGGACAGGGCTTTTGCCTCTTTTTAGATGAAACATCTTTTTCTACTGAATTTCTGGAGTATCTGCAGAACTCCCTAAACAACACACAATAAAACATGCCTTCAGCACCAAGGACAGGACCTGTGCTTCCAGGTCTTATTCTGTTGGTAAGTGTTAGGGAGTATCTGCAAAACTATGTAAAGAACAACAATACAAGTCTTCGGCACCAAGGACAGGGCTTTTGCTTTTTTTTAGATGAAACATCTTATTCTACTGAATTTCTGGAGTATCTGCAGAACTCCCTAAACAACACACAATAACACATGCCTTCAGCCCCAAGGACAGGACTGGTCCTTTCACAAGCTTTTTGGTGTAAAATCTTATTCTACTGATTAGTGTTCTCGTGTGCCCCAGAAGTCTTGAACACAATAAAACACGCCTTCAGCACCAAGGACAGGACCTGTGCTTTCAGGTCTTACTGTAATTCCTGATTTGTTCACTGTACTGATAAGTTCACTGTTTTCACTGTCTCTTGTGTAAAGTGAACTTATCATTACAGTTAACAAATAATTCCTGGACTTTTCTTTATCCTGCACTTGTCACCACCGTGAACATATAGTTACGTGAACATGTCCATTTTTCTCAGACAGTGAAATTTTGCTACCGTGAACATAAAGTGAATTACAGTATTCTGTTGATAAGTGTTAGGGAGTATCTGCAAAACTACCTAAAGAACAATACATGTCTTCAGCACAAAGGACAGGGCTTCTGCATTTCTTTTACACGAAAAGTCATATTCAACTGATAATTGTTCTGGTGTATTTCAAGAAATCACTGAACAACACACAATAACACATGCCTTCAGCAACCAAGGACAGGGCTCCTCCTTTAACGATCTCTTGGATGAAAATTTTATTCTATACAAGTGTTTGTGGTGGAGAAGAGCAGAACAGAGCTAGATGCACACCTCTAACCTGCCTGCAATACTTTGATCCGAACAACATTTGGTAAATTTACCATATTCCAAAAGTCTCACTGGTGTCTATTCAGCATCCAGTAACTATTACTCTAAACCTATCCTACATAGCACACTTGAACTTAACTTTCCAATTCAAATAGCCAGACCTGTATTCAGTAAACAAAAGATTAAAGACAAATCTCTACATACCACAGGCATGGGGTACTTGTGTTAGAATGTTTAACCCTTGTAGTACTGTACTTGTACATACCACAGGCATGGGGTACTTGTCCAATGTTTAACCCTTGTAGTACTGTACTTGTGCAATGTTTAACCCTTGTAGTACTGTACTTGTGCAATGTTTAACCCTTGTAGTACTGTACTTGTGCAATGTTTAACCCTTGTAGTACTGTACTTGTGTAATGTTTAACCCTTGTAGTACTGTACTTGTGTAATCTTTAACCCTTGTAGTACTGTACTTGTACATACCACAGGCATGGGGTACTTGAGCTTGGCGACCTCCAGGTCAGGAATGAGCGGCATCGGGTATCGGTTGGGCAGAACCATGAAGTTAGCAACCTGGTCTGCTACTATTCCTTTCAACAGGGAACTGTAACATAGATGAGTTCATTAACTCTCTCATTCATTCACTCACTCTCTCATTCACTTAGTCATTCATTTGGAACATGAAGTTAGCCACCTGATCTGCTACTATTCCTTTCAACAGGGAACTGTGACAACAAAATACATGCATCATTCGTTCACTCACTCACTCACTCACTCACTCACTCACTCACTCACTCACTCACTCACTCACTCACTCACTCACTCACTCAGAACCATGAAGTTAGCAACCTGGTCTGCTACTATTCCTTTCAACAGGGAACTGGAACAAGGAAACAAACACATTCACTCATCCATCCATCCATTCTCTCATTCCTTCATTCTCTTGTTTATTTATTCAGTTAAGCATTAATTCATTGATAAGAGCACACCAATCTCACCTGAGTCCTGGGAAGTCAAACACGTCAGCCAGATTGGTCAGGTTGAAATCAATCTCCTGTGAAAATGAGCAAAAAAAATCAATTTAACTTTCACTCCAACAAAGTACAAGTGTACATAGTTTATATACCCCAGATTACAAAAAAAATCACACATTCTGCATGGTTTTCTCACTGTTAAAAACATGTCTGAGGGTCAAAGATCAACAAAACTGTGCATGAAACAGAGAATCCCGGGTTCAAGTTCTGACATGCCACTGATCTTGTGCCCTTGGGAAAGGCACTTAACACGACTTTCCTCACTTTGTTCAGGTGAAAATGAGTATTGTATTGTCCCCTGTGTTGGTGGCGGCATTAATATAAGTTCAAAAAATTTGAGTGTGCCGTCACCGCGTCGTGTGATTACATGTTGGAATATAAAAAAAAAGAGAATCCTGAGAACTCACAGGTCTGTTGAGGAAGAAGACAGTGATGCCTCCGATGAGAGGAGAAAACTTCACTAGAGGTTTCATCACAACTCGCAAGGTTCCATGGATCTGGAACATACAATCACAACATACCACATAAAAACATAACACAATGTACATTTAAGTGAATAATTCATAATTATGTCTGACAATAAATAATAGAATCACAAAAATATTCACTGCTAATTATTGGATTGTAAGCTGCATCCGTATTTCAAACAACCAACCAATGAACCAATCAAACAACCCACCTTTTGCCAAGGTGCCTGGCAAGGATAAAAGGACAATAAACTTAAAGCTGTGTTTTATGAAACACCTCAAAGACTTTTCTCTGCTCGTCTTCCTCACCTGTAAGTCTTGAATCCCTGCTAAGAAACGCTTCATGCGGATCTGGATGTCACAGTCACCTGCGTACCTGGGGAGACACGAGCACAGGTGTCAGCACAATGGAGGAACTTTGAGGTAGAACTACACATATGTACAGTCATGTACAGTCATGTATGTATCTTGTCACCTGTGTACCTGTGCACACATACAAATTATCATTTGCATCATATACATCTTGTACATAGTATTATTACATATTTATTATTTTACCTGCATACCTGTATGACGTGGGTATATACAGGTGTCAGTAGAGTAAGACTCCACACACCTGGGAACTTACCTGTCCACATGGAGAAACATTTAGGTATAAGTCAAGGAGCTGATATAAGCTCAAGGAGGTACCAAAGTGCATGCATACGTGTCTCTTATCAGCAAGACTGGCTTTACTTAACCCACAATGTTTACTCAAGTCAGGGTTTAGGTAATCCAAGCAAATATGTTAACCACAGTCAGACATGTGTAGGCATTTTTATATCATACCCAGACAGCGATAACGGTCCGTACTTTACGGTACGGACTGGTCTGGAACCCGTTATCGAACGTTACATAGAACGATGCGTTTTGCCCTAACCGTGTGCGCCGCTTTCGAAAATTCGAACACAGAAATCGGATGTTGGAATGGATGTTGTTGCACTTTTTAGTTTAGGGACACCAAACTTGGGGTCATTTTGCATTGAAAGGCGCGTTTTCTTGGGTGGGTATGACATAAATAAAATACAACATGGGGTATTCCGCATCGCCTTCGGTCCCGGCCCTCCTGCGAGTCGGATCGCCCTCTGCCTTCGGCGGTCGGGCGATCCGACTCGCAGTCGGGCTGGTACCTCGGGCGATACGGAATACCCCGTGTTGTATTCTATATGTACGACAGCATTCCATACTAACTACAGCCATACGGTGGAGGGAAGCTCATGCCTCACAGGCTCAAATGATTAGAAGACATGCAGCAACGTGAGTTCACAAAACATTCATGGAATTTCTAGACATTTCATCAATTTAAGTGGCTTGTAATCTGTAACATTGAACATTTTATGATAAGAATGAAGCCGTGTAAAGTTTGACATGAAAATGATTTTTGTCCAAAATTCTGCAGGAAATTTAGGGGGTAGCGTATCTAGAACTGTGCCTATGTAGTTCTATGCCTGAATGGGTTAGGGATCCGGATAGGATCAGGTATGGTTCTGGATAGTCTCTATTGTATCCAGAACTGTGCCTATCTAGTTCTATCCCTGAATGGGCTAGGGATAGGATCAGGCACAGTTCTGGATAGTCTCTATTGTACCCAGAACCGTGCCTATCTAGTTCTATGCCTGAATGGGTTAGGGTTAGGATCAGGCATGGTTCTGGATAGTCTCTACTGTACCCAAAACTGTGCCTATCTAGTTCTATGCCTGAATGGGTTAGGGTTAGGATCTGAGGAACAGTTCTGGATAGTCTCTGTGTATACAATACAGTAGATTTGCCCCAGGCATGGTTCCGGATATGCCTGGGCTATCCAGAACCATAATACAGGGATAAGGCAAGAGGGTAACACATGATTAAAAGGATTAAAGACTGCAGACTTACATGATCTCCATGTCCAGGATAATCTCATTCCTGTGCACATGCTCTGTGTAGACCTGGATCCCGCCTACTCTGGGGGGCTGGAACAACAGCAGAGGTACACTTTAAACAGTCGTACAGTTTGCACTGATGTACTGTTTAAATTGTTTTTTCAACGTCCAAACAGTACCCGTCCAGTTGCAGCCGTTATACGGCTGAATTGATGCAGGGTATCACATAATAATCAATAAACAATCACAAACAATTAATTAAGACATATGATAACACATATTTGTTCCACACATTTTTTGGAACTGTCGCAAGGGTCTGTGCAGCTGCCATTCGGCACCACAAGGTGACCTCAATACGGCTTTCCCCAACCGAAGTTAGGTACCCATTCACACCTGGGTGGAGCGAGGAAAGTTGTGTAAAGTGCCTTTCCCAAAGAATGTCTGAGGAATGTAAGGAATTGAAACCTGCAACCTTTTAATTTATCTGCTCTCTTTAACCACTCAGGCATTTGATGCCACTAACACAATTAAACTGTTAAGCTTTTCCAATTGATAATTAGATCCAATAATTCTAGCCTCCGTAGCAGGCTTATAGAACTGGGGGTTTGGTGGTCTTTGGCTGTTTTCTGATTAGCCCAGTTCTAATAAAAATGGGGGTAATTCAACCAGGCCGGCTATGTTGTCTATATGCAATCAGAAAATAGCACATAAAAGCTCCCAAAGACCACGAAGACCCCCCAGTTTTTGGCATGCTATGGAGGCTACAATATTTCTACATATTGTACTGTGAATTGACATATGTATTCTAGATGTAAACCAGTGTAGCCTCCTAGCCTCCATGGTTAAAACAACAAGGAATAACTCTTGTCACCACAGATACAGACAGTCATTACTCACAACATGCATCTGTACCAGGCTTGTAAGTCTGGAAACATTCCAACTTCTTACTCAAGTTTCACAGGGACACTTTAAAGACCCTATTCCTGACTACTGTAGGTCTGATTGAAACAGGAAAACTATCAAAATACTTCATTTTCATTCTCCATGATCACTGTCTTTTAGTATTGTGCATGCACAACAATTGCAGACATATACACTGGAAAAACATTCTTGCTATACTTACTTAAGTTTCAAAAGGCCATTTTAAAGAGCCTATACCTGACTAAGCCTGTACAGTGTAATACAAAGTATGACAAGTAACTGCAAGAATTCTGTGTCAGACGTTTTAGATAGCATCTGCTACAATGATCTTTCATCAATGATTCAATCATTCAAGTGTAACCTGCATATGAATGAGTATCTGAAATGGAGTGTAAAATTAATTAATGAGTAACTGAGGAAAATCTAGGTCTGATTTTAAGAGTTGGTATAATATAAGACTAATATATAAACATGTTCATTTCCATTGTGAAGAGATGGGTGTTTTAATAACATACAGTACATAGCTGACATTAGGGGCTGTACATGTCTGTCATCATGATATCATGTTCACTCTATATGTGGGACTAAACATAGGGCAAACATAGGGCTATTTTAGGTGGGATATTTTGGGTCATGATAACAACAGTAACACTAAGCATTGCTGTACCAAGGCCGCACAAAGTCATTTCATCGTTTTTCAGACATTTCAAGGTGAAATACAGCAAACAGACTCATAAAAGCAGAGGGGAGGGAGGAAAACTTGAATATGATCATTATCTATGACATAACACCCCCGTATTCAGAAAAGCTTTGTAAATTCAGTTGCTTCAGTGAAGCATATCATAAATAAGAAAAATCCAACAACCAACAAACTTGATTTGTGTGGCCTTGAATTGATCTAAGTTCTGAGTATTTAGCTGAAAAATCAGGCTCGAAAAGTGGCATTAATTTATCTGACATCACCTGTACGATGTGATAGTTTTGGTGAATACTTTTCAGAAACATTAAGAATTCATCCATTCAAAGCCTTTCCACCACCTTAAACTCCCATCTCCATGCATTTTTCATAACTTCTGATCCACATCCATAATTCACTAACTTCCTCAAGAGCTTTGAGGACTGAGAAAGGAGTAAAATTGGGCAGGAAGCCAGAAGCAGTAGTAAATCACATCATCAACACAAAGAACTTAGGCAGTAAGTTACAACTGTTACAGAAGTGCTACATTTTAAGTAGAAGCAGGCAGACTGTAGCAATGTGAATGATGTGCTACATAACACATGATGCTTTTGCCACATGTATCCTGCATCAGTACATGCAGGTTCAGATAAAGAGGAACTACAGTGTATAGCTACTATTTAGATGGAAAACAATCAACACAAATCACTTGCAGTATGTGTTGCAATCAAATAGTGCTACATTGTGAGTAAAAGCAGACAGACTGTAGCAGTGTGAATTATGTGCTACAATGTAACACATCATGGCATTGCCACAGTATAAACAGGTTCAGTGTTTGAGAGAATAACAATCAACTGTTACAATGTACACCACTGACTTCAGTATTACTTTAGTAATAGAAATGCTACATTTAAACTGAGTAGAATCAGACTGTAGCAAATTGTGAATAATATATATCACAATCCTCAGTCAGTGCTACAATGTGACAAATGAGTGTAAATGAAGTGCACTGCCACAGGAGAATTGTTGGGGAGGATGGTTGATACAATGTAACAGATGGAGACATTTAAACACACAATCAGCACAAGTCAGCCATGCAGCAAACTGTGACTGAACCGCTACATTCTAACAGACTGTGGCAATCTGTGACTTGCAGATCAGAGTGCTACATTGTGTAACAATAACAGATTGTGAGTGTGAGTGTAAAATGATTTTTCAGACATGGGTGCTCAAGAGGTTTAACAGACAGAGGGAGAATTTGTTTCAGACATCTGCACCAGGAAATGAACCACCTGTTCAATAGTCTTCAAGATGTCAGACATTGACTCTTCTCCTTTTGAGAAGTGTGGAGCTCTTTAACATGTTTGATGTCTTTTTTTTTCTATCATGTGCTAATGTAAACAATGGATCGTAACACTCCTGGCTAATCATTGGTTTACAGCAACTGCAAGGTTCTAACTACATGTAGAAGTCCTGATGGTGGAAAGAAGATGCCGGTGTTACTCTTGTTTTAAATGACTGGAGGTTGTTGTCAGTGATCAGGCCGACCACGTTGTCTGGGAGACTGTTCCAGATGTGTACTGCATCCCTGACCAAAGCTACAGTGTGTAAGGTACTCAGTTTCACCTGTAGTAAGTTAAGTGATGAAAGTGACTTTCCCAGGCTAGGGACTCAACACTGGAGATGGCCAGGGAGTCAAACTCAGCACCATTATCATCTTGAATAAATAAAGGCATAAACAAACAAACAAACAAGCGGCTCACCATGTCCCCGTGCATGATATAGGTACTTACTGTACCTCTTCCCCTATATAAATCAAGTATGAAATAGATTCAAGCCAGGGATTCAAACCCAGGACATTTAAATTAATGAACAAACAAACAAACAAACGTCTCACCATGTCCCCGAGCATGATGTTGCTGAACTGGAATGACTTCAGCATCTCGTGTGAGTCTTTCACCACCGGTTCCACCGAGGTCCTTAAGATGTCCTCCACATACCTGCCTACATACGGCCACAGCTGGGCTAGGATCTACGGAGTAAACAAATAAACAATAAATAAACAAACAAACAAACAAACAGCATGTCGTGTGAGTCTTTCACCACCGGCTTTACGGAGGTTGTCAGGATTCCCTCAACATACCGGCCGACATATGGCCACAGCTGGGCTAGGATCTATAGAGTAAACAAATAAACAATAATAAACAAACAGACAAACAGCATCTCGTGTGAGTCTTTTACCACCGGCTCAACTGAGGTCCTCAGGATATCCTCCACGTATCTTCCAACATACGGCCACAGCTGGGCTAGGATCTGCACACGAAATAAACAATAATAAACAAACAAACAGACAAACATTGTTGCTCAGGATATCCTCCGAGTATCTGCAAACATGCAGCTGGGCAACTGCAAGGATCTACACAGGAAATAAACAACCATAAACAAATAAACAAACAGTTCCTCGTGGCCCTCTTCAGGGTTAGTGACCGGCATCACTTTGGTCATGTGACCCGCAACCTGGTGGCCATAGGACAAGGTCAAAGGTGAGAGGGTGAGGTGAGAAAATAGCTGAAACAAGATATTTAAAAAGTAAACAATTCATTGATTCTTTTTTTTATGGGAGGGGAGGGAAAATTTCCACAACATCTGGAATAGACGCAGATGCTATGAACCATTAAATTGGATCTGTGCAGCCTAATATATTTATGATATATCATAATTGATAGGCCCAGAGTATGAGGCTTCCCTGGAGTATAACCTGTTATTCAATCAGGCGCTACGTTTGTCTGGAAGTCTGGCTGGGAGGATTACTATTTTTACGGGAGGGGTGGAAATAAGGAGACTACTAAAATCTCTATCTGAGTAAAGAGACTCTTTTTACGACAATCTCTGATTTTCAAGGTACATGACTTGTATACATCCTTGTTCCTGTAGCCAGACCTGTGCCTTGTGCTGTGTACCAGTTTGCTGGACTTGAATCCGGACCTGAACCTAAATATGAGTTTACATTTGTAGGTACACAGCACTTCCCATGCATATCCAGTTCTGTTCTATGTCTGAATGGGTTAGGGTTAGGATCAGGCACGGTTCTGGATAGTCTCTATTGTATCCAGAACTGTGCCTATCTAGTTCTATGCCTGAATGGGTTAGGGTTAGGATCCGGCACAGTTCTGGATTTAGTCTCTGTGTATCCAAATCTGTAGATTTGCCCCAGGCACGGTTCTGGATACACGTGGACTATCCAGAACCATGCCTGGGCATAGTTCTAGAGCTGGAAAAACAAACAGGTTCTGCAATCAAAAGGTTGGATTTTCAAATGTTTATATTGTCAAATTCAATTGTTTAAGTATAGCTACATAATGGCAGGCAATTCACATTGTAGCTGGTTTTATGAGTGCTGCAAAGTCAACAATTATAAAGTTCAAGTGAAAAAGCACACATTCAACCACTCTTAACAAGCACCCTTCCAAACAAGTTTGTTTGGAACAGTCATGGTACAATAAACTGAATAATACTTGATGTAGCCACTAGAAGTTTGAACTTCTCACCTTGTTCAGCCATTCTGCTCTCTCCACATCAGGAAAGTACACCTGAAACACACAACAAACACATCAGAAATTCAACCACACTTATTTTTTTTCAATAACATAGTGAGCATTGAACAGAAAGCATGTAATGTGCTTATAGAGACACTTGTGAAACATAAAAACATAAATACAGGTTGAGTGCTTGCAGTTGATTCAGAACCTGAAATCTTGACAGAAAAAAATTGGACACGGCAAATCCGAGAAACAACAAACTAAATTGGTATGGCCTAATAAGAACATATTGTTTTATCTAGTGAAACATTATGTTTTTTCTCTGGCCCACACTGCAAATATAGCCACTGTACTCTTTTCCTTATCTGCTAACAGCATTTATCCGTAGTGTGTTGTTTGTATAAGGCTGAGGGATCAGGGTGGAACACAAACATAGAAACAAACACAGGAACGTTACAAGATAGCAACACAAACAGGGACTAACAGCACACAGACAAGGCTAACACAAACATATTACAGGCAAACCTGTGCAAGAAGACCTTACAGTACACAGACACAAACATATCACATAGGTCAAACCTGTCTAAGAAGGCCACACACACAGGGACTAACAGTACACAGATTGAGCTAACACAAACATACATGTGTGTTATACAGGCAAACCTGCTCTAGAGGACCACTCAGGGTACCTACAAAATCTGGACTATGTTCACAGGTGGTCTGTAGGATTCTTACTGCTTGTGTCAATGGGAAAATGCAGATGGTATTTTGAACACAGACAGCTGCATTTGAACCTGAATACTGAAGTGTAACAGTAACACCTTTCAGTCTACTATATCATTACTAAAGTAAAGGCTGAATGGAGAAGCCAGCTGCACATAAATAATACATTTGGATAAATGCCAAAAAAGACTCAAAATCTAACAATTCCTTACATTAACATGCGATATTTATTCATTAAAGACATTATAATAAGCTAACAAATGTTGAACTATTTCTTCCTTTTGTTTCCAATCTTGAGAACCAAAAAATTATTCTATAGCAGCTTTAATTTTAAAATCTTCAGTTACCAAACTGAAAGGGTAGTCATTTTTGACCTGGAGTAACCCCTGTCTAGACATCTGACCTTTCACCCTATAAAAGCATAAGGGCATCCTGGGTGTAAGTATAACTGTCATTGGCACAGCAACTGGGGCAAGAGGAAGGTGGCTATGGGAAGGATAGCTGGATAAATGAATAAGGAATAAACAAACAAATGACTAAATTTTGCACTCTGGCCCGGCAGTAAACAGGTTTGTGACAGTTCCAACTTTCTCACCCCAGGTCTAGTCACGGTTCAACGTGTTAGACTAACAAAACAAACACGAGTGGTGAGATACCTGCATAAAGGGCTGTGTTTGCATGTGTTCAAACAACTAAATAGCAAAACATCAAATACCAACCGGCATTATATCTGAAAACAATTTAGAAACTGCAGGTTACTAGTAGTACTTTCTCACCCAGGGTTGAGTTACAGTTTAAGGTGTTGGGCTAACAAAACATACACAAGTGGTCAGATACCTGCATAAAGGGCTGTGTTTACACATGATCAGGTACAGCAAGGTACACACAGGGGGAACAATCAACAACAGGTAACTCTACACTACACAGGTGAGGGAAACACCTGACTGTAGTTGTTAAAGTCATTTCATTGATAATTTGATACAGAAGCTTTAAGGCAACAGCGACTTTTGTATGGTCAACAACAAACTACAAGGAATACAAAATAGATCTTAAAACTGTCTACTTAGTACTTAGTGAGGGCCAGCATATGTACTAGTAAATCTGTACATATGTTCACCAGATAACGCTAGTAATCATGCATTTTCTGATAACAGTTATCTTTCTTGATAACTACGTAATCTTTCACCTAATCATTTTTGGTATCAGAAAAGATAAAGTGAAACCCACAATTAGCCTGATCTGATTGTAACATTGTTTACAAACACAGCCTACATGTATGTTGGCCCTTAATAAGTTAATTTACCTATTTGCTTAATTGTTAAGACTTATAAGCAAAAGAGATCCCTCCAAGTTGTCTATCCATTTTTTTTTTTATTTCCACATTTTTGTTTTGCCTTTCCACTTAGACAGGTTTCACCACAGGGCCACTGAATCAGTATATTCTGACCCCTCCCACTTCAAGTTTCAGTTGTACGAATCATTTCCTACATTTGGTAGCAATTCTCCTCAAAGTCAAATAACATTTTTAACTGTTTGGATACAGATGTGTATATAACTTAAGTACACATTTTCCCAGACAGTACTTGCCTGTTTTCTATTATTGTATTGTACATGTACCGTATAGTATATTTGACTCTGTATAAAAGCAATTGGCCTTAGGGCATGATAATTAATGTAGCATGACGAACAATTACATAATAGAATAAAAAACAATCAACGAGGAAAGTTTCCAGTGTTGTTGTTTCTTCTTCAGCAAATATTTAAGTGAAAGCTTTAGGAGGCCTGGTGAAAGTGAAAGCTGCTATAATCTAATCAGGAAATAGTCAGGTCATTGGTCAGGACCAGTACAACAGGGGCTCTTCAAGGGGTTATACCGACACCTTCCTGATCCATTGTGGTGCTGTCTGTAAAAGTTGTCTGCTGTTTGCATTTATTTTCCCCTTCAATTCTGTTAGTAAAACATAACAGTGCAATATGGGGGTTATCAGGAAGCCTTAACAGGATGACATTTCAATTCCGAATCTCGATCACCCCTTTCGGACCCTCCGTTTAATGACATTTCGGCACAGACAAAAATAACAACGCCCGGTATGCACTTCTCTCCAAGCAGAGGTTTGGGGTTATTTTAGGCGTGTTTTTAGCCTTTTTTTATCGGGGTTTCTGTTTCGGGGAAAGAAAAATTCCAGTGCAAAAAGGATCCCCGATAAAAAAAGTCTAAAAACACGCTAAAAATAACCAAAAAATCCAAACCTCTGCTTGGAGAGTCGGTATGCACCGCCTATAAACAAAACATCACGAACACATCGCTATCTCTCCTTACTGATTCCCTACTTACCCAAGACGGCAAGTCCTCAAGACGAGCCAAGACGGTCTCCTGCTCGTTCTGGGCCGCCTTGCGAGCTGTCTTGATCTTAAACTCCTTCGCTCTCTGCCTTTTCTCCCTGGCCATCCACACGAAAAGGCCCAACATGATCCAACTGACGCTAAAGGCCCAGTACCCGACCAGCCAAACAACCACCAACAATCCAAGCGTCATGGCGTACTTCTTGATCAGAACCAGCAAGTCTTCGTTCACCTGGAGGCGGCTAGGGACGGTGGGGTGGGGGCTCTGCCCCGTCCCCCCGGGGGCGCTAGCGTCCGTCCCGCCCGCTTCTGTACCCACACCACCAGCCCCGGAGTTGGAACTCTCCGCCATGTTGGATGGGCGTGCCCACTTGTGTGGGCGGGGTGGGCAGGATGCCTCGGCTGGCACCAGGCACGCGGATAGAGGGGAAAAAAACAACAAAATGTCTCATTTGTTTTACAAAACCTTCGGAATGTTTTCCCGAAGACTTAAAGCACAGAATTTTACTGTAAGAAGCGTGTTTTTTATACCATTTTCTGAAAAGAATGTAAAAAATTATCGACCGACAAGCGAGGTCACGATGGATTTGACCTTCTGGTAAGATACCGTCATCTTCCTGTGACGTCATCGGTCATCTTTAGTATCTACTGTGGGAAATGTGGAGTTTGATATATAATGTAAAATGTTAGACTATTCTTTCATTGCCAAGTCATGTTTTTGTCCTTTTTTTTTAAAGAGAAATGCCTTTGAATAGATCTGATGTGAATCATTCAATGGCACATTAGAGCCTACTCTCCAAGCAGAGGTTTGGGTTTTGGCTTATTTTTGGTGTGTTTTTAGGCTTTTTCATCAGGTTTTGTTTTTGCACTGGATTTTTTTCTACCCCCCCCCCAAAAAAGACTAAAAACAGGCCAAAAATAAGCCACAACCCAAACCTCTGCTTGGAGAGTATCATATCCATTAAAAGAATGTTAGAATTTTGAAAAAAAAAAAGATAATTGACCTTGGTCGCTTTTTCACTCTCACTCACAAAATCACTCACACAAGCTCACATTTTAAATACCAGTCACCTATATTAGCGCCATCTAGCAATTCACAAAAGAAATGCAGTACTTATGTAGGTATTCAACAAATTCTTTTTATTCTGCAAGCCTTATCATGACATTGGAGCTTTTTTCTTCTTTTTTTTTGTATTCAACAAATTCTTTTTATTCTGCAAGCCTTACATGACATTGGAGCTTTTTTTCTTCTTCTTTTGGTATTCAACAAATTCTTTTTATTCTGCAAGCCTTATCATGACATTCAAGTTTTTGTCTTCTTTTTTGTATGTACTATTTATAAGTCAACTAAATATTTCAAGCAACTGCTTCAACTAAACTAAACTTT